CGATGATTCTGTGGTCTACCTGGGATCCATCCATATACTCCCATGGACCATGATCCCTGTTCCACTTAAAGAATCTTTTCTTTCCCAGATTTCCTTTCTCTTTCTTGCCTTTTCTCTTTATTAGCATCTAATGTTAATCATGTTGCATTGGCTCACCTCTGGAATGCTTTTTTTCACTTTCAAATAAGAGAGTTTGGGGATCAGGATATGAGGAATACACGCTTTCAACTTGCATAGCCTCAAGTTCACTTCCTTTCCAGTTTGTTTTCAAAATTAGGTTTAGCAACTTTGTTTTCAGGTGAGTGGGGGCATTTGACCCCACAGAAAAGCAGACTTCCTGAGCACTGGAAGTTTCAAATGTTTGTGACCACAATAGGATTATTACAGATAAGAATGTATTATTCATTTCAAAAAGCTACGAGAAAGGATTGGAAGTTTCCATTATAAAGAAATGTATACATGTATCCAAATATCACCATGGCAACATATTTATATAATTTTTGTGTATCAGTTAAAAATAAATTTAAAAGTATGATGTAAAAGTAGGGCTGGGGGAACAAGTAACTCAACATAGGCTGCTTCTCTGATCACCGTCATCAAAATATCATCTCAGTGTCATATAGGATCGCCACAGCCTGGTGACTATTTCACTAAACACCAGAGAAAAACACTTCCCAGGGCTTCCTTAGCACCCCTAGCCAGTTGTGTTAGAATTATTTTGGACGCCCAAAGCACGACAATTAATCTATGCATTTACATGGCCATTTCAAGATGAAAAGTAGTCAAGTTTTCTAAGCAAATTAAACTTTTTACTGGGCTATCAGGACCAGAGCTTAGTGGGATCCTCTTTCTTTTGCAACGTATTACTGGTTACTGCCTGATGGTCGATGTAGATGGGATAATGGCATGGGAGGACAGCCTTTGAAGAAAATCTTGTGTGCAATAAATATAAGAAAATTATGCAGACTTTTAAAAGTAAAATAATCAGATCAGTGATTGCCAAAGAGGATGAGGAAAGATTACACAGGGGCAGGGGAAACTTTTGGGAGTGATGGATATATTCATTATTGTGGTTGTGACAGTGTCAAAATGGAGTAAGTTGTGCAATTCAAATATGAGAAGTTGATTGTATGTCATGTATACTTGAACCCTAAAAAAATAAAACAACTTAGCAACCACTTTACTTCCTAAGGAACGAACTGGATGAAAATAATTAAGGGGGGGGGGTATCTAAGATAAAAGAAGTAGTAGTTTTAGCATTATTTATTCCTTAACAGTATTAAGTTCATTACTTATCCTATTAACTAAAAGTGTTGAAAGAAATGGATGGAACCCAAATAGGATTACATCTGGTTTCATGAAAACTTAATATTGTTCCTGCTACATCTAACTTATATTTAGAAGGAAGGCATGGCTAGAAACAAATTTTTCAGAAAACAAGAATATTTTTGTTATGTTTTTTTTCTTGCCAATCTGTAGACACCAAAGTAACCAACATGCAGGTATTTATGGGTAATTTTTAAGTGCTGAACAGGACTTAAAATGAAGTAGGACTAAATGAAGTAGCTTCTGATATTGAATGACTCTGAAATTGTGCATCAACATGTTTCACAGTACAAAAGTGTAGACATATACATCTGTACCCTTCTCTATGTTAGGCCCAGAAGGTTGGAGAAAAATGAATTGAGTCAGGTACTATTTTAGATAACAAAAGGATGCATATGACAGACCAGTGCTTTTCCACTTGAGTCACCTGTAGGCTCCCCCAACAATGAATCCTTATTTGCTTAAGATGGTAGGCATGGTGGTTCATCATAGCAATTTAAAAATAATTCATTCTTTAGGTCTCAGTTTGGAAGAATTAAAGCTGAATTTTTCTTATACAATTTGCCATTTTCTTTAAAAGCAGAGGCTGCAACAAAAAGGTCTTACAATTCTGTAACAAATGTATGCTCTTAAAAATATGTATTTAAATCAGGTTCCATTTAAGATAAAGATACATGCAATGTACAGTTTAAAAGTATAAATTTTACAAAATAAATTCATTTAAGACAGAGAATCTAATCTTGGTTTGATATGCAGTATTTCTCAATAACTGGAAAACAAACAAACCAACACTTTAATTTTAGCTCCACTGACACATTTTTTCCATGTTTTCCCCCAAAGAACATTTCTAAGCACAAAATAGATTCGTAATGGTTTAATTAGATACATTTTATATATCCTGAACATAATGGCTCCCTTAGAAATAAACTAATGTTTTGTACACAAACTTTATTTACTGTGCCACATTCATAATATACTGAGCCAAGAGCAAACATTTATTACACCCCCCTGGTGTGTACGGAGCTCTGCTCCCACAAACACTTCATTATCAAGGATGACAGAGAACAAGATTAGACAAGATGGATAATTAAAACCCACTAGGTAATAACAAAAATTTACTTTATATTATGATTAGAAACTCTTCTCCAGCCACAGCTGTAAGCACTATTAAGCAAAACAGTTTAATCAGGTTTTCCTCCCTCATCCCGCCTCTCACTGCTCCTGGAACAGGATCTGATGACTGATTAGCAGAGCTGCTGAAAGGAATTGGGCCAGAATAATCAAGAGGAGCAAAAGATTGGAAAATCGACAACCAGGCATCTTTTGTATTAAAAAATCCCTTGGTTTCTCTTACTCAGAAAATTACATTTGGGACCCCTACCCCCACATCAATTCATCTGTATCTTAAAAGGTATCTGAAATGAGGTTTAATTTTTCAATTGCTGGGTTATAGGGAAGGTTATTTTAAAGTAATCTGTGGAAAATAATAATTTAATAAACAACATAACAGCAAAATTGGAGAGTAAATTTGCATCTTGGGTAGCAGCAGCATTCAGGATCAAAATAGTTTCTGGCGGACCTCTCAGAGTATTGGTGTGTGACATCCATCTGTTCATTCTGGCCAAGTCCATGGGGCCACTTTAACTTTTTACTGCTTTCCTAGTGACCATCTCAAGAGAGAGGAAAAAGTTTGTAAGTAAACCATGGGAATGGGTACAGACACATCAAGTCCTCCTCTATCCTAGACTGCTCTAGGAAACAAATAAAATTGTGCCCTGAAATAAAAAAGCTCACAAAAAAATTCTAAGGACATTATAACTTTTATCCAGAGAATGAGCTAATAATCTATCCTTTTCCTGTTCAATCTCAAAAGTCTAAATATTATGTAAATGAAAATTCCAACAGGATGAACCTCATAATTCTGTAACTATCATGTCAATAAACAGTGAAAAAGAAAAGGGGGATGGGGCATTGCACCAAGATGAGTATTTGACATGGGAGACTGGAGAACCAGGTGTTAGGGGAGCACCACCCCAAACTTAATCCATCACTTCAGTGGGAATAATCAGGGTATCTGAATCCCCCCCAAATCTAAATCTGGTATATTATAAAATGTGTTGATTTTTAGTTTGACATTTTTTTCTCAGTCTCATCTGACCAACATTCAACCACTTGACTTATAGCTGGACTCATCTTCTAGTCAAGGTTCTATCCACTATTTTTTTCTTAACTATAACCCAAATGCTAGGTATGGTGGTTGCATGCCTGCTGGATCCTAGGTCCTCTTCAACCTTCCCATTTCTCTATGTATGATATCTTCAGTTTGCAGAATTCCTGTATTTAGTCTATTTTGAAACTGTTCAAGGAAATGCTAGTAAGTTCAGGCCAGAATTATTTTAGTATTTTAAGCTTTGCCAATCAAAGGAAAACAGACTTCTCCATGAGGGAGTCAATAGGAAGCTAACTAAATTCTAATTAAAATTAAAGACATGCATCTGAGGATGCAGATAAAAGGACATCAAGATAAATGAACAGAAAAATAGTCAATGACAAGGGGAAGATTTTACAATCTCCTATGGATTTAAAGTGGGAGATGAAGGAATTGAGAAGTTCACAGAGGGTGTTGTTCATGTTACACCTGGAGCTGGATTGAGAAATTTAGTGGAGAGTGAAATTCCATTCTAAACAAGTGCATGGACTTAGAGGAAGGAAGAAATGAAATTTTAGGGTAATCAAAACACTGCTCCATCCAGTGGAAGTTTTAGAGTTCTCCCTTAAGTTTTTTTGTTTGATGGTATATTAGCCATTATTAGCAATGCTTTGCTAAGAAGAAATAAAGCTAAAATCAATACCTCACAACAAAATATAAAATGTCATAACCTTGTTATCAGAGTTGAAAAAACACTTAAATTTTGAGGGAAAGAATCAGAATAAAGATCTAACAATAAAATATATGTAATTTTATAATTCTCTAGAAAACTCTCTAAGGAGACTTTTTAAAAACATACAGGCAGGGCTGAAGCTGCAGCTCAGTAGTAGAGTGCTTGCCTAGCATGTGCGAGGCGCTTGGTTCCATCCTCAGTACCAGATAAAAATAAATAAATAAAGATATAGTGTCCAACTAAAATATTAAAAAAATACAGGCATTAATATAGACATCTATGTGAAGAAACTTAGGAATACTGATGCAAGTTTCCTACAAAAGCTTCTGTATATTAGTGGAGGAAAATCAAATTCCAAAGTATGCAAAACACACTTCTCCCTACCCCCCCATTTTTGGGATGGATAAATTCTTTAGCTTCATGTTTTTATCTCTATCTCTGGCGAGGTAAATGCTTAACATGTAGCTGTGTATCATTCTGGAATCACTTGATAAAAATAAGAAATGATTTTGCATAGGACTCATTTAAACAATGCAAATAAGCTACTGGCATCCTTACTTCTGTTCTTATTGGAACTTGAATAGTGTCAATGAGTTGTGGGTGGGTTAGGGATGTGTGTCCCATTGTGCTTTGCTCAAACACTTTGGCTGTTTATAGTACTATTAAGCCCACAAAGAAATTCCATGTGTGTGTGTCTTTTTTCTTTTGGTCATTCTTTCCAAAGTTTTAACACTGATGACAAATGTCCAAATCAAACACAAATTTTGCCAAATAACAGGGCACACTGTGAGGTTAGGTGGAAGAGGGATGGTTTATTATCTGAACGCAGGACAGGAACTTAACGAGCAACGTGAATACAGAGATCTACTTAGCGCACCTTTTCCTTCTTGACCTTCAGATACACCAGATGGTAACTGACGTGTCAATGTAACGTACGTGTTGTTCAATTTTCAGTCCACGTGTCAGTCAAATCATTGTTCTGATTGAGAAAGTGAATCATGCCATGATTCAAAAGATCTGTCCTTCACATAAACCTATGAGTACACATTTAAAAAATGGTTTATTGTACATCTTTGCATTTTTTAAGGCATGAACAATGGCATACAGATGGAACAGGTTCTGGGAAGCATCATGTCTTTTATAAGGAGGCCAGCCACAAGCACACCACATCAAAAATTACTTGAAGTCTGAACCAACCAACTGCTGGGGCCCAGGAGCTCCTGTGACAAGGGGATGGTGCTTCCGGACAATGGACCAAACATGTGGTTTGTGTGTTGTTTTTACTTTCTTGATCAGCTTTAAGCACCGGTTACAGTTTTTTGTTTTTTTTTTCTTTACAAATTCTTCAGACTTTGGATTTTGTACTCTGCTCCTTTTTATTCTGCTTTCTGAGACGGGTGTAGACTTGCTTTGTTTTTTGTTTTAAGGAATATGGTTGCAGCAAAACAGAAAGGATCCAAAAGTGGTTAGGGGCCTTGTCTAATGCACTTTTGAAAGTCCATTATAAAGATGAATAGAAAAGCAAATGGTAGGTTTTCAGTCGACCCAGAAACCACGCGTAGCTATAAGAAACATAATTGTGCATAGTTATTTATTCATTCAGAGTGTGATATGTGGGCTAGCTCTACGTTCCCAGTTTACCAGAGAACAGGGCTGTCTACTTTGCTAAACCCAGGGTCCTTTCGAAGCTCCCAGTAGGTGTCGTTGGAAACCCAGGCTTCTCTTTGATTTGCATCAATAACTTTTCTGTGAAAATATAAAAATGAACGTTAGCCATAGATTGCACCAAAGTGACCTGATAATTGGACCCTTTCCTATGGATTAGACATGTATACATAGGAGTATTTTGTAAGCCAGAGAGTGTATAATCTGCTCACAATTGGGGATTTGACTATTTTTGAATAGGAATGAACTCATTTTTGTTGTAAAATGTTTTACATGAAAGCAGGTAGAAGAGGAACTGAAGGGGGGGACAGATCATCTTCAGGCAGGGACAGAAAGTGAAGAGCCCCAAACAAAGTGCATACAAATATTATAATCCAGAACTTCTGGTTCCAGATTGGCAAGAATAGTTTCTGCTTTACTTTCAGGGGCAAGTATTCAATATTGGTAGTTCTGAGAGCCTCTGCAGCCCATGTATAATGAGCCCACTTCTGATATTTCAAGGGCAAGGCTGCATTTCTTCCCCAGAGGGATAGGGGGGTAATGAAATGACAACTTTAAAGGATAAGAGGTTTTCTTGAGCTTTGGAGGGCAACAGATGAATTTGGAAACTACAGACTAATCTGTGTGATGTATATATAATCCTGCAAATAATCACTGACTATCGCACCCCAGAGGCACTAAATCTGAACAGATACAAGCTCCGTGTGACACAAATAAGATTAAAACCTAATGAAGTCAGGGTGACCTTGTGGGTGTAGGGGCCCATCCAGTCCCTGGATGAGGGAGTGGGAACAGGTTTCCATCATTTTAAAGGGTACAGCTGAAGGAAAAAGCTCTCTGGGTAATACCCTCAGTTTTTTGCTATCTACAAAAAGAAGAGACCTGTAGAGAAGAATTTCTTTTTATGGTTACTACCTTTTTACATGTGCAAAATCTGACTCAATTATTTTCACTGCTTAAAAGGAAAGTAAACAAAATTAGTTTTCTACCTTTAAGTTCCCTGGATACTATACTATCCCCAATTTTTTTTTTATACCTGAAGTTTCTTATGGCCTATGGCAACCGTCTGAAACACATGAATTTGTTAAGGGAATGAACTGACTTACTTAAAAAATTTTGGTATATGTTCAAGGTTGTTTTCTTCCATATATCGTCTTCGAGATCTCTGGAGTTCCTCTACTCTTTGCTTCTCTGCCGCTGCAGCTTCCAAATTCCCTTCTTCCAAAAATCTAAGCATAAAGAAGTTGATATTTCATTATGTTATCCTCTTTTTAGAAAAAAAATATCACTTGCATAAAATTACACTCTGGTTGCTGTGAGGCACAGTGATACTCTTGATAATGTCCCTTCACCTCTGTCTCAGGACACACTACCTCTTTCTGCCCGTCAATTAATAAACTTTCTGTGGACATGGACTGAATTATGAAATTTAACAAAATGAGGGTAGGAGGGAGAGGGGAGAGGTTTGGCCTTGCAGACTTCTCTGTGCTGCTTGGGGTTCTGCAGGTTGATATTTTTCAGGACAACTGCAGAGTTCAGCATGAGAACATCAGGCAGTTGCAAGTTGTGCTCCTTTTCCATAGTAACAAAAGCACTTGTTAAAGGTGATAGGATGGAGCATGGCAACTGGAAGCCCTCCATCTATTTCGAGAACAGATTGAGAGGCAAGGAGCTTTCCTGTTTTATTGGAGAGAGTAAGACTGGTGAAAACAGAAGGTAACAGCTGGGGAAAATTACCAAAGGCCACAGAATAGGAAATGAAATTCAGAAAGGGAATACTGAAATAGAATCAAGAAGGAAAAAGAAGACCCAGGGTGATTTGCAAATGTTTATATTTCAAAACCAGAGCAAAGAACAGGGATATACCATGGTATACATTGTACAGGGTTAATTGATAAAATCTAAATGTCAAACGGCAAGACCACATGTTCTAGAAGGAGCATAATTAAGAGAATTAAATAGGAGAACATTCAATAATGAGAACTTTTTGGCAGAAAACAGGTAAAACCACAAAAGTATGGGAAATAGAAAACTGCTCTTGGATGGAACTCGTATGACATATAGAGTTTTTGGGAAAAGTAAAATGAATTCTGTAGGAGTAAACATCATGAGTATTATGAAATAAAAAAATAAGAATTCGAAGGCTTTGGAGATACTGTATTTCCAGTATATCTCTCACTGTGGGACCCAAAGCATACTAGGAAAACTCTAGATTTTCACTCAAAGCATTTCTGGGTATCCCTATAACTTATCCTCTTATTCTTAAGTTTAAAAGATACTCCATATTACAGGGTAATAGACACAAGGAGGTTAACACACACACACACACACACACACACACACAAAACACTGGGTTAGGAGTAATTCGGTACATAGCAGAGTTCATGGGTCTGCTGATCTGTAGTCAGTTTGGGGGGGGGATTTGAAACCTTTTATTAAAACACAACTGTGTCATCATCCATGGGAACTTTGTGTTGAGATAAGCATCTTTTATGATCATACTGCAAATACTACTTTACCTAGGGTCGAAAACTTCAATACTGCTGAGTGAATAGGGAACAAAGGAATGACTGAATGAGTAGCCAACAATGGTGGTACAGAGAGTCTCAAAGATGGCTGAAGCCCACTCCATGACCTAGGCTGCATCTCAAATGCCTCTGCCATCCCTACCTTTGATCTGGCCGAAACCGGGCGTCTGTCGGTGGAAGGAGATCTTTTAGTACAGGATCTAACTCATTGAGCTCAATAGCAAACCGTGTGAAGCCATAGTAGAGCTCATAGTTGGTTGGCATGGAACCTGGAATGAGGCCAATGAACCACTGTGAGAGGAGCAAGATTGATAGAGAACCGAACTTACCACCAGTGCTGAATTAACATATGCTAAGATAGACACTGCAGTTACAAACTCTAGAATGTGAATTTGTTTCAAGTGGATTAAATTGGTTATATTTTGCTAGGTGGGGAAGTTTATGTTGATGATCAGAAGTGATAGACTTCTGTATTTAAAAAAATTCAGTCTTTAAAACTTTGCACATGTAGTATGGTCTTTGTTGGCTAAACTCTCCTCCCTCATATTCAATTGGGAACTAAGTGCCATTATGGTTAACTATGAACACTAAAATTTCACCAGAAACCATTATTATTTCCTTTTTTTTTTATAAAAGAAAAAGATGTAGATCTAAATTAATACTTACTGGCACTTCTTTCTTTTTCTTCTTCTTTTTTATTTTTAGTTTTGGTTCCAGGGATTGAACCCAGGGGTGCTTACCCACTGAGCCATATCCCCAGCCCTTTTTTGTATTTTATTTAGAAGCAGGGTCTCGATGAGTTGTTTAGAGCCTCACTAAGTTGTTGAGGCTGGCTTTGAACTTAAGATCCTCCTGCCTCAGACTCTTGAGCTGCTGGGATAACAGGTGTGTGTACCTCCATGCCTGGCTTATTAGTGGTGAAAAGAGTCTCAAAGACTGCTGAAGCCCACTTCACGATCTAGGCTGCATCACTTCTTTCTAAACTGAAAGGCAGGATCTTTGTGTGCTTTGTTCATTGATGTATTTCCAAGTCCTAGAATGAAGCCTGATGCACAGTCAGTACTCAATATGTAGTTACTAATGAATGAGCTAATTGCTCTACTAGGAGGAAATTTATATAGGCATCAATACCTTTTAGGAAGCCAATAACTAATTTTAAAATTAGAGATTAATTGACGAGTTCCAATGAAAGTAAATGTCATGTTGAAGACTTGTTCCATTTAAACATGATATACAGTTATATGTTAATGCAATACCAGAACTCTGTTGATGTCTTTTATTAAATTCAACATATTGAAGCTTTTTGCCACTTGAGTGAAAATATCACTTATTCTGGTGAATTATTGAATTTGTGGATTTAAAGATGTTTGTAAGCTTTCCTTTGTTTTATTGAAACAAAAAAATAACATAAGGACTTAAGCTTATATATTTCAATTATTTAAACTCTTTAATAAATACACTTAGCTTTTGAAATACTGTAGGCATTACATTTAGAGTGATTTTACATGTCAGGTTTGAACATGTCATGTCACCACATGCCAGAGACTTGGCCTAAATTCTCATTATCAAGTTTCAAATACTGGCGCAAATATTTATATATATATATATATATATATATATATATATATATAACTTAGATGTTTGTATAAATATAACTAAGCATCTTCTATCTATCTATCTATTTATTTATTTAGTGGTGCTGGGGATTGAACCCAGGGTCTTGTGCATGTGAGGCAAGCACTCAGTATACCAAGCCATATCCCCAGCCCCACGCATCTACTTTTTAAATCTCACCATTAAAGAAAATATAAGGTGAGTTACATGGGATGACCTGCTACTGCCTTCCCCTCTGCCACTCACAGGCCTTCCTGATGCAGGGCACTCGCACCAGTCTCACCTGGTCTCCAGATGCACTTTGCAGAGGGGGCCACACCACAATAGAGACCTTCGTGCCACTTCCCAAACAGCCGGTGCACTACCTTTCCTTCCTGATCCATCACAACCCCCTGGACTTCATTCACGTTGGAATTCCAATAATTCACCTGGAAAAACCAAACCCCAGTCATTTTAATAATACTGATCTCTATAATTTCCATATGGAAATTTTTCCTTACCTTGAAGTCTCTCATTCTCACCATTTCCGGGAATCTATCTCTAAGCGTTTTATATGGAAGGTTGGTTTTCTAATTATGTGTTAGCTTAACTTTTATTATGTGCTTGTACCAATATGTCACAGTGATTCTCATTATTATTTATCATTATAATATAACAATCAATTAAAAAAAAAGAAATGGCTGATATCTACTCCAGGCTATAGCATGGTAGCACGACATAGAGGAGGCTCAGTTTCTATCCTAAGAATCTAATATTAATTTACAGGTTAGAATTTTTCCCCTCAGATCCTCTTGTCTCGAATCTTCCCTTTGTTCATAGATTCTGATGAATTTCCAATGGCCATGTTTTAGAAATAGCTGCTGAATTCTGTAACAGACCCAAATAAACATGGAAGTAATGCTGTATATTCTACTTCAGACCAGAGTGTGGGAAAATGGCATCCTATGTGCATTTCTATCCCAAATATTTATTTTTGTCACTAAACAAAATGCTTTGCATTGAACGTGTTTGGATTATAAAAATGGCAGGGTTAGATGGGCTTGTAGGGACTGGTAACTACCATTGACATGGCTGTTCTACTCAAGTATTGTCAGAAAATGACAACTGCATTATAATTGGCTTCCTAAAAAAAGATCACTTGAACATGTTGAAGTTAAGCAGGAACAGAAAAGGAAAACAGAAGAGTTGGTATAGGCAAAAAGTGTTTTCTGGAATTTTACTGAATGAACTGACTGGCTACTTAGAAGATTCTTTAGAAAGAAATTCGTTTTTATTTTCTGATCTGAAATGGAGCCTTTTTTGACCTCCACTTTTTCAGAAGCCTACATGTCTTGAATAATTTCATAAAATGGTCCTGATTTCTTATCAAAAAATGTTCTTAAGACCAATGATACAGGGCAGATTTAATTGCTACTAGATAAGGTAAATGTTCTACTTCTTCCTAAGGAAACGCTGTGTGTTATTTTTCCTTTTCTGTCCCATGGCATTATTTACCTTGACAAATGTGAGTTTGCAAATGCAAACGCTGCTTTTGGTATTTCTAATTGTTATTTCTCCATAATGCTCTATCCATCTCCTCCCACTGAGGATGTTGTGAATGCATGTGGTCACCTTGTTCCACACATAGTAATCTCCATACCTAGTGAGGAATAGAACATTGATTAAAAATGATGAAGGTCACAAATATGTTACTATTTCTACTAATGAGAATATTATTTGGCCAGAGCTTCCTTTCTCCCCATTTCCCTCTCATTTTTTTTTTCTTGAAAGTTTCTAGGCAAATATTTATGATATGATTCATTCATTTGAAGAACAGTGAAGTGTTTCTAGGGCCAGGTGCTAAAGCTACAAAGTTGAAGAGGGCCTATTTTCTGTTCCTCTGGGGCCAACAGTATGGTAGGAGTACATGGACATGTAAACAGATACTTAAGGTCAAATATGATGAGGGCTGTAACAGACAAATGAACAAAGCATCAAAGTAACACAGAGAGTGAGTCTTTCATCCTTAGCTCACAGGGAATCTGGGTGAGTTTCAAGGAAGATATCCTAGAAGAGGCTGGGTTGGATCTAAGCTTGGGTGGTGGGTAAGAGGGTATTACCTGTTGGGGAAAGTATGGACAAAGCTACAGGGGCCAGGAAAGCTTGCTGCATCTGGGGGTGTATGAGTGGTGGGCTCTAGTTGGTGGCTGTGGAGGGAGTCAGGTCAGGGAGTCAATCAATGACCTTTTAAAGAGTATGGCTTGACCCTTCAAGCAAGGGGCCATTATGGAAGGATTTGTGGTGGAGAGAGGCTCAATAGGGTGCATATTTAAGACTGATTACTCTAAGAACACTGTTTCATACTGCATGTTAAGAACAAAGAAGGGAATAGTTATTTGGGGGAAAAGACAGACAAGTAGCTGAGCAAGGTGGCACAGGCCTATAATCCCAGCTACTAGGTAGGCTAAGGTAGGGGAATCACTAGTTCCAGGCCAGTCTAGGCAACTTAGCAGGATCCTGTCTCAAAATCCCTGGTACCACAAAAAATCCAAAACCAACAAACAAAAACCTGGCAAGCACAAATCCACAAATCTAATGTAATTCTGAGGAGTGAGGAGAGTGAGGTTATGGGATTTCTGCTAAGGAACTAAATGACATGGCTTTAAAACACATTTAAGTTTGTACATTTTATATTTTTTCAAATGAAATGCTATTTTCAAAATAAAGTAAAATGGTTGTAAGATTTTCAAATTGGCATGATGTAGGCACTAGAGACACTTAGGAAAACTCCTTCCTCTTTGTGAATTTCCAAACATTGAAGGTTTATCTCCTTCTCCTTACCTTCCTTTATATCCAACCTACCAGCAACTCAGTCATTCAAATTGACAAAAACAAAATGAACCAAAGAGGAAACAAAAACCATCAAGTCCTTGGCCTTAATGAAAACTTCAATTAATGTAAAAATACTTATAGGCTATATCTTCTAAATCTTTTTATATACAAACCTAGAAGATCTCATCCTTCTTCTTTGATAAAATAACAGAAATTTTAAACAGGCGCTAGAACTAAGATAAACTCAAAAGTGAAAATATAAAGTGTATAGAAAAATAAATGACTAAAAGGAAAACTTTTCATTTGAAATGCGAAAAAGCATGGTGACTAGGACTTGGTAGGTACCTGGTTTTGGCTGATGAATGGAGAAGGAGAAACAAACAGGAAGCTTTGGTACAGTTGCTAAAGTTCTCATTTGTTTTTGTGGGGGCCCATCTCAGAACTGTGCTGAAAGTAACAGATACTTTGGGTGTACAGGGAAATGGACCTTCTGTTTTAGAAAAGCAGGGAAGACGCCAAAAGAGAGAGGAGAGCAACCTACTTTGGAAGCATGACATTCAGTGTTCCAACTGGCAGGATTTCCATGGACTTCCCCCAGAACTTGTTTTTCCATCTGATATCTAAATGACATGAGCAGAGGACAAAATATACACACGCCATATCTAACTGTTCTGTAAAACCTAACTTTTGTATTATACTTCACAAAGCACTTTTGTAATCACAAGTCTCTATATTGTAGATTTAACATGACAAGTACCTGAAGATGGCCTGACATGAAAATATTAACCATAGTCCCCCCGAGTCTACTGTTTCTCCATTACCATGCTCCATATTTGTTTTCAATGAACAAAACTGAGAGAAGCCTGGAATAAGTGTTTCTGTGTATGTGTTTGTATATCCACTTATACATACAAACAGACCTTACAGTGATCAATATCTAGATAGTAATAAATGTTCAGTTTTAATCAAATAGTAAAATATACTTAACATATTGATCAAGCCTCATATGTATGTAAAAATAATTGCAGGATTTATATACATATTTCCCCCACCATATGGAAGAGTTATGATTTGGGAGAAGAGTAAAAAATAATAATACAATCTTTAAACACAGACAAGAAAGATTTATGGGAAAGTGGGATTAACTTAATGAATACATCCCTACACTGGCAGCTGGGATACAGCCTGAAGCCCAGAGCCTCATGCTTTGGCTTCAGGTTTTACTTGTGGAGGTTTGGATCTACCTGACATTTGTGATAACCACCTGGTGTCATCTTGATGAACTAAGGGAGCTTAGTGCTGTCTCCACAAAACTTATGAATCTTGGTTATGACTAAGAAATGATTTATTGTCTTATTTTGCAATAAAGTACAGTTATAGGGCTCTATCATTTTGTGTGTTTCCAGGTTAAGGAAATGCTTATGAGAAGAGTCATTCTGTGAGCAACGAAGCACCCTTCCAAATGTGAAAGAACTATCTTGTGTGTGTATGTGAGTGTGTGTGTGTGTGTGTGTGTGTGTGTGAAGGAACTATTTATACTTAATGGTCAAATCAACATATATATTCTCTTCTTTCTAAAGGGGTTTCAAATTTTTATTTTAGGCAAGTTTGTAACATTCTGAAAGAACAATGGGCGTTAATAAATAGAGACTTTAATTTAAACTCTGGAGCCCTGGCAAGTTAAAGAAGACAAATTACTGCAATGTTTATATAGACGTCTTTTGTTATCCATGGAGTATTGGTTCTAGAACACCTTCAGGTGTCAAAATGAGGATGCTCAAGTCTCTTATATAAAATGGCAAAGTATTTGCATATAACCCATGGAATCCTCCCACATGCTTTAAATCATTTCTAGATTACTTATAATATTTAAAACAATATAAATATACATGCTAGTACAGATACAATTTTTTTCCCAAATATTTTCCATCTGAGATTGATCAAATCTACAGATGTGGAACCCTCAGATATGGTGGGCTGACTGTATATCTAAACAGACTTTGACCACAGATGACATACCATAGAACCATCCTTCAGGATTAAAATCTCTGCATGCCCCAAAAGTAAGAAGGCCACTGATATTACGTTATAGATGCAGACATTAAGGCACCACGTGATAAAACAATGGCTTCAAGCTGGCAGTCAGCATAGAGCTCTGTGTTCCATGGGCCTGGCTTCCTAGATGCACACTCTCATCTCCCGGAGGACACAGTTTCATATTTAAACCAGGAAATTTAATTTCTCAAACTGAGTTCCACACCAATTACCAATATTCTCTGAGTTCCAAAGGTAGAAATTTAAACTGAGCACAGTGTATCTTCAAAAGCTAGAAAATTTTCCATGGATTCACAAATTTGACTATAAGTTATAATTAAAATACAAACCTTGCCAAAACACAAAATTCTTTGATTCACAGTGACAGGCAGAAATGGGTGGATGATGGCTAACCTGATAATTAAAAACAAAAAAGAAGGCAATGATGGCAGTGTTAAAATTTTCATAAATGATGTTTATTTACAATGTAAAAAGGTCACCTCCCAATGAAAACCACAATCCATCCATCTCTATTAGTGAATTATTCTCAGGATGGATAAGTAAATCTTTAACTTTTAGGACTTTGTGCTTAAACACAGAGAGCTTACACATACATAGAGGGGGTAATGACACAGACAAGCCAAATGAGTTTTCTGTTAACTACATTATGATGCATCCAAAACACATCCATATCAAAAGTATCAAAAGGCTGCTTTCATCACCAAACTGCCCTCCTACCCATGTAGAAACCTCACTTACTTGTTCTGAGAAAAATCGGAATCCTTTGTCTTCTCTAATGCATTCATAAGTCTCCCCAAGGACTGGGTTGAATGGCTTACTTCCTGCTCTGAAGTAGGTGGAGCAATATCCTGAAACTGCAAACGCAGCAACGAGAACCTGTTAAGACATTCAAGAAAGGAAAATAATATAGGAGCCATGGCTGCCGGGTCTGTTTGTCCCTATTCCTGTGGATTTTACCAACACTGATGGGTGTTGACTTGATGCCTTTTGCAGTTTCTATTACTTGTACAGAACTGGCCTCAATGCAGGGAGAAAAAATAAGATAAAATGAGGTTGTACTTCTTCCATGGGAACGGGCAGGCCACTGAAGTCAAGTGCTTTCCATTCATATGTCCACCCAATTTCATGAGTGTCACAGAGTTCAAAGGATCTGAAACCCAATTACAGGTTATACCATGTGCTGTTTCAGTACCACAGACAGGAGGGTGGGGCTGCTGGTGCCTGTTGGAGAAAAGCAGGGCAAATTTTCCCATCTATGGAATAAAGGGCAAAGTACCAACAGCAAGTCACTTTCTTAAAAATAAATTCCTGGGCAGATGGACTGTGTTGGCATTCAGGAAAAGTTGATAAGGCAAGATCTGGCATGACTTGGCTACCTTTGCATTCTAACTTTAGGGACACCCTAGATCACAGATAGAATCACAAAATGTGCATCTTCCAGTAAGGATATCTAGAACTACTTGGCCCTGCTTGATTATGCAAACAGGCCAATTCCTCTCTTACCTATGCAGTGGGAATGTCATGCAAAACCCGAATGTGTCATCATAATGGTCTGTGGTCTAGCCAAGGACAGGTGCTGCCCTGTCATTTATTACCATGCGCTCGTAGGGATCATCAGTCTCTGAGGCCTTGTCCAGCAGCTCACTGTATTCAATTTCCTCACAGAGATGCTGCAGGGTGTTGAGCGGCTCGTTGAGCTCCACAGGCATCGAGACTTTCGACAGGTCTTTACCGATGTTGTTTCTCAAGATATTCCACAGGTTGATGTTACTAGTGTCAGGACAAGGAGCAGGCAGGCAGGTGCGACGGCCATTTCTGAAGGCGCCTCCTGTGAGCTCCCCATTCAGGACTGGGAGAGGAGAATCACAGTGAAAGATACTTTTCTTTTCTGATTTCATAAAACCAGGGAGGAACTTCTTCAAATAATTCTGATTGTGATACATTTACTGAGCCTTCATTATATTCTCTTGAGACTAAATGGAGTTATTTCTTCATGAGGTATTTCACAAAATATCAGAGGATTTTTTTAAAAAAACAAGATGTTAAATACACTCAAATGTTATTTTAGGAAAGACAAGTCAAATTTTAGAAAGTAGATTTAATAAGAAGGATTTAAAGTGAGTATAAGCAAGATGTAAGACATTTTCTCTAGACTATGTATTTAACAGATTTTGTAACCATTAATCTCAACAGATAATGCAAAAAAAATTTACGGAACAATCAGCTGGTAAAAGAATAATTAGTGAGGGGGAGAGGGGAGTGACTGTTCATTAGTTCACCAGTGTTGTAATTTGGCATGTAGACAGAACAACCTGGAAGCTCAAATGATGCATACTTTGCCGAGAAATATTGTCCGCAACACTGGTGTTGTCTTCAGATATATTATCGCTCACATCGCTGATGTAAGACTCGTCATCTGAAGCCTAAGGAAAGAAAGAACACAAAGAGATCAGAATTCTTGATCTGATTCTTGTCTTGACAGCTCAGATAATTAAATTATTAAGAAAAGAAAAGAAAGAAAGAAAAAGTGCTTAAATGAGAAACAGAGATGGTAGTGGGAAATGTATTTGGCATATGTGCAATGAACACAGAGAGGAATTAGAGTCTTCCAGGAGCCAGGATAAAGATTGCTAAGAAGAAGCCCTTGTCTTAAATAGCTTCTTGTCTTAGTTGGGTTGGGAAGCTGAAGAGGTCAGTATATAACTAGAAATATTGGAGGACAGTATAGTAAGAAGGCCCTGGGACTCCACCTAGAGGACTCAGGAGAGGTAGCCCGAAGGAAATATTTGAACTGTTAAGAGAATGAATGGGAGATGCCCAGTCATCACAATGGGGGGCAGGGTGGGGATGGGGAGCACAAGAAGAAGGGGCAATGTGCAAAAGCAAAGACTAAGAGAGCAACATTTATTGTAGGAATACTAAGATGTTGAGAGCAGGTTGACAGAGGGTGGGGAGGACAAGTGGAGGGCATGACAATGACAGCCTTTTCAGGCCAATCAAAGGAGTCACGTAGAACTCCATGGATTATTAAAAAAAAATGCAAGGGTTATTAAAAAAATGCAAGGGAACTCTAGAGTCAGGTTTAGTTTCTAGGAAGATCAGTGGCAGCATTCCCTAAGGAGGCTAGATGATAGGGCTCTGCAGATCCAGGTGAGGAACACTGACAGCTAAGAATCAGACAGCTGCACTGAGGTTGGGGAGAGAGGAGGATGCAGCCACTCTCTTCAGGAGAAAGCATGGAACTAAAGTGAAACCAAACTTAGCATAAAATGATATTAAGGAACAACATATACACTAAGGGGAGTTAGAAACAGCAGATAATAAAAGAGAGGAATAAGAACTCTAACAGAAATGGGGAGAAAAAGTCAAAATTTTCACTAAAAGCAAGAAAACTGTTAATACTTATTTACTTTCTTCAAAGTAAAAAAGGCTATATATTTTTTTCCAAACATGAAAACAAAACAATCATTTTTAAAATATTAGAAATTACATGATGGTAAACAGATAAGTATGAAAATCATCTATAATTTCATCATCTAAAGGAAACCACTTGACCATTTGGGTGGTATTATTATCCCCTAATTTCAAAATGCTTACATAGACACATATCTCTGTGGTTACTGAAAAAGGAGATCAATTTCCACGTTGTTTTGTAGTTTCTAAATACATTTCCATTATTGTGGGTATGGCTCGTCATCTTTACTTGGAAAAGTAGCATGTTTCATTATATATTTATAGCATAAGGGATTTAACCATCATTTAAGTGATTTCCAACTTTTTACTCTTCTAGACAATAGCTGGATGGATATCTTTGTAAATATGTTTTTGTAATTCTTCCTAATGATTCCATTTGTTTCATTCAAAAATTTTGTTTATTTTAAAATAGATCAAATGGGTCACTTTTAGGTATTAGACTTATGTTGTCAAATTGCTCTTCTCAAATACTATATTAATTTGCTCTCTCCAGTAGTATAGGGAAACACCCATCTCTCCATATCTACTTAAACACTACAAATCACCATTTTTTTGTCACTATCTACCTACCTAATACAAATAAAAAGATCTCTGGATTTCATCTTTCATGAACTTGTTTTCTTATCTTTCACACATTTTTCTGTTTTCATATGTTCCAAATTTTTTCCTAGCTTGAAATTTATTTTCTTAATTTTGTTTTTGTCAACTTTTTCTGCCATTCAAGGTTTTAAAATTGTATGCAATAAAAACAATTCATCTTTATCTCTACAGTTACTGGATTTATTGTTAATGCTTTTAAGAATAGGGTTGAAAAGAGTGTTTGGAGTGGTGGACAGCATGACTATATGTATGATGATTAATGGGAGTTTTGCTTTTGCACAGTGTAAATCTAGAAGCATGGCAGGTGGAAAATAACATTTGCTTCTGACTCATAGTTTCCTGCTGCACCTGGTTCTCACAGCTCTCAATGATTGCAATGGAAAACAAACAGGCTCTTGAAAGCTAAGTTATTTAGCTTAGTAGAAAAAAAAAGTGAATCAAACTCTTCAGTTTCTCTGAAAAATGTTCATCACACTCAATCGTGTTTGAAGAAACAAATGCCTCCCCCAAATCAAATTCATATAACATCCATGTTTATTGTTTGAAGGTTTGTTAAGAAAACCCTCATGCTGCCAGGCACGGTGGTACGCGCCTGTAATCCCAGCAATTTGGGAGGCTGAGGCAGGAGGATCCCAAGTTCAAAGCCAGCCTCAGCAACTTGGTAAGACCCTGTCTCAAAAAAAAAAAAAAATTCTGGGGATGTGGCTCAGTGGTTAAGTGCCCTTGGGTTCAATCCCCAGATCCCCAGTACCAAAAAAAAAAAAAAAAAAAAAAGAAAGAAAAAAACCACTTGTGCTTATTTTACAAAAAGCTATAAATATGTTCTATTCCTCTTTAACTTTGGACCTCTCCTAAACTAATATATCATAGAAGTGATCCAATATCACTGGTGTAAAAGAATTCTCCAACGAAGGTGGGCACTACATAAGATGTGTACCCATAGTGTGTGTGTGTGTAGTAACTAAGTTTGGGCTGTCTTGCTATGATCCCCTTACATTGTCCTGTATACAGCTGAAGGCTCTGCAGTATTATAATAAACAGTTTGTTTTCACCCCCATGATCAAGAAGTCTTGGAGTCAAATATTTCTTGTTATGAACTTTGGAGTTCAGAAGAGTTCAAGAAGCTTCCCCCCCATCCCCAAATGTGACCAAGGATACAGCACTGTAAAAGAACTTTAAAAGCAGAGGTAAGGCAAGTAGACCATTCTGGAAGCAAGGTGACCTGTGTTTTTAAAAGGAGGCGAGGATTCATTAAGCAAAGTGCATTGGTAGATACACTTAAAGATTTTTCTCTCATGGAAAATGTGGTTGTAAGACAGCTAAAACCCAGATGCTCCTAATAATCCCATGTTAATGTGTTACAAGCACTCTTTCCTCTATTCAGTTAGCAAATATTTATTGAGCACCTGCTCTGGGTTCACCAGAACTGTTCTAGTGTTGGATGCACAAGAGAAAGTCTCTGACTTCATGAAGCTACATTATAGTGGGGGAGACAAAACCAACAAGTTAATATAAGAAAGACATATTCTGTTAGTGATAACTATGAAGGAAAATAATGAGGGAAGAGTGATATAAAAGGTTAGAGGAGAAGAGGAAATGGCAGCTTTAAGTTTTAGAAAGGTCAGCTAGTGTGGGCTTTCCTGAAGGTGACTTTTGAGTAAGGGACTAAATTGAATGGAGGCCGTTAAATGTGTGTGGGAGCTAAACTAATTTGTTTGTAGACAAGTGCTCCAAACACAGTGGACAGCAAGTGCAGGGGACCAATCTCTACTGAGAGCTGTAGCACAGAACATGTTTCCTGAGCCTGCCCTGCAGCTGCTGCTAGGGTTCACACAGGCATGGCAAAACTCACCCAGCGGGCTTGTCAAGTCTGTTAGTATGGAGACTTGAGGAGCCTTCTGGGGGGACCATCCCAAAGAAACTTAGGGACTAGGGTGGATGAGCATGACCCAGTAACCAAGCCTTAGCCAAAGAGGATGAGCAACTCTGAAAACATCATTGTGACTGTCACTTGAGTTTACTTCCTGGTCTGGCCCCTTCAAATACTTAAGACTGAGTGCTATAAAGGGAGAAGGTATACATACAAACAGTTATTTTAAACCTGTAAAATAGAGACAAGTGTGCAGTTCAGGTCTTCCCACAATGAGATCTAGGGGAGAATCACTCTCCTTGCTACATCAAGGGACACAGGTGTTTTTATCAAATTGACAACACCAGAATTACCCCTTTTGCTGCTAGAGGTCTTGAGAATAGAGGTAGCATAAGGCTGCACGTGAGAGCAGGGATGAGATATATAAAAGGGTCTTCGTGTAATATCTAAGTAGTTAGATTGTTATCCTAGGGACACTGGGGGATGAGGACATGATCAGATTTGCCTTTTAGAAATATTAATCAGGTTGCCCAGTGGAAAACGGATTGGAAGGGATGAGAAAAAGGCAGGAAAACTGGATTTGAGGTGGATGGGTAATCCAGGTGTGGGGGATGAGGGGGTACTGAACTGGACTGGAATAGTGGCAGTGAGGCTGCAGAAAAATGTTTGGGTCTGAGAGCACTTAGATGACAGGAGCTACAGACCCTGATGAGTGAAACAATATGGGTGGCAGTAAGACAAAAGAAGGAGTGAAGGGGAATGCTCCAATATCCAAGGTCAACACTTGGGGGAAGTGAATGAAGGGTATGGGTGCATGTTTTTTATTTTTTGGGGTGTGGTGTGTGTGGAAAGGGGTTTGTTGATAATTTTATTTGCATTTGCTGAACTATGGGTACCCAGGTGGCATTGTCTAACAGGTAGCTGTTACGTGGATCCTGATTGGACTCAATCTGTCTCCAGACCTGCCCTGTCCTTGAGCTTTGGACTTGCCTATTCACATGCCTGGCAGATAACCCCTATGGACAGAGGTCTGACAAACTCATGATGCCTCAAATTGAATGATCCTCTGCATGCTGCCCTCTCCCTCCTTATCTCTCTCTCTGCCCTAGCTTCATTCTTCTGGGTAAGACGATGGCAACACCATCTTACTTGGACTTGTGCAATAGTTTACTTCACAGCCTCTTCATTTCTGTATCCCTAGTCTAGGCAAAGAGATACCTGGACATCCAGCTGGATGATAGGTCCAAGCTCAGATAATGTGCAGTCAAATTTAACTATACCCTGATTGAAGGATGGAAGATTGGTCGGCAATGGAAACTCAGACAAGTCAGAGTTAAAAAAAAAAAAAATCCTGCAAGGTCATCCCTGGGGGTGTGGACATAAATGTCTGTCCAAGTGGCAGAGTACCCCTATAAAAAGGAGGGAGTGTGAAGCTGTCATATCCTGGCCCTCCTAACCTTAAGTTCACTGAACTCACTTCTGTCCCCATCTGTTGCTCACCAAGCAGCCTCCTGACTACAATTAGGTTTGTCATGAAGATTTGTCTATAGAGAAAGAGGCAGTAATAGCAAGCAAGATCATTCTGATTATCTGTTATAGTATCAATTACCATTACACATAACTAAACTAGCCCTCTGCACCATGAATGGGAGTCTCTCTGAATCTGTTAACGTGTGCCTGGGGATCTGAGCAACAGCTGCAGGCCCTGGTATGCCAACAAAGTCAGCTTCTGATTCAAGAATTCTGTTTCACATTTCCCCACTATAAAAGTGATATGTGTCCATCATTTCTTGCTTTTTTCCACTTTATTTTTGTTTCTAAAATCACTCATAATTTCAAGCATTCCAAAACAACTACTACTGTCAGGATGTTTCCTTCCCATCTATTTTCTATGCATATAGAAATAATATTTAGCAACTATTTTTTTTGGTAAAAATGCAGTACAGACAATTTCAAATGATAAATTTCATAATTGGTTATATAGGAAAGAGTTTTGGCTGCTTCCCCTACACGCAACAAAACAAAACAACAACAAAACAAAGCACATTTGAGTGAATTCCAATAACTGAATCATATCCTGAAACCTGACCAGGAAAAAAGTTCCATATCTAGACCTTTTCAAGATTCATGAAAATGAACAATTCAATAAAGCTTCTGTGGTAGTCTGTGTCTAACCTCCAAGAACCACAATTACCCAGCTAGATATATGCCAGACAGTATCCTTCTATGCTCAAATTCATGTTACTGGTAAAGATACATAACATGTATGTGTTTGCATTTACACATGAATGGTGGTTTTCTAATTCTCACATATTTTTTTCTCTTTTAATAGCTAGTCTCCCATAAAGAACTCTATTGTCAACTATTTGGTAACTCTGAAATATGAATCACAGAAGAAAATCAGAATAAACGTGTGACTCTTTCCCTTTATTCATCAACTTTAAGAGTACTAAGCAAGCAGATGCCCAGAAGTGTTGTTAAGTGCTTAGTCTATGGGAACCAAAATGGCTTGCATACTTTTGGCTATGTTACAATTTGATGTAAACAAACAAATACAACCAGAAATTTCCACAGCTTCACTTTCTTTAACCCAAACTCAGAGTCCTAAGCAGCTGAGACAGACACATCCAGGATCCTCACCTCATTCTCTGATGAACTTGCAGAGAGGAGCACCTCTTGAGCATCGAAGAACTCAGACACAGACTCTGACATGGAGAGGCGGCTCTCATTGGCTACTTGCTGTGAAAGGGGGAGACTGACGTGGATTTGCTCACCAGGCTACAGAAAAGAGAAGCACACTGAATAATCATTTTTTCCCCTGGTAGAATAACTTCTTTTAAATCAGCCATATTTCTAGAGAAATCCATGCTATGTGTTACAATATTGGTGACTACAAGTAATTTTCACTTGCTACTACCTTACTTTCCTTCCAATACATTTAAAGATTTTTAGAAGGCATAGTTGAAACGGGCTGGTACCGTGACTTGATTTTAAACCTATGCTCATTGATATTAAGAAGAATTTAACAGTTTAAGGTCTACTCATAACCTGCATGGGTTGCAGAGATAAGTTCTTTCTCTTATTCTTAGGAATGTCACTACTAGAGACATGGTAAGAAAACAATATATGAGACTAATTTTTGAAACAGAATATGTAAAAAACATTTTCAAACTAGGTCACAAATTTTAACCAGGAAAATGACCAAAGCATTGAATACTGTATCAAATTTATTTTTATTCACTAAATAATAAATAACTGTTTTCAAGGTGCTTTTTAAGTTTTACTCAAAAACTATGTAAGAACATACACACACACACACACACACACACACACACACACATATATATATATTCTAATGCACATTAGGTTGAAAAGAAGGTCTCAATTGAGTATTATTAAATGACTTTTGAATTATAAACTTCAGAAATACTTCCAGATTCTGGGTAGCTGAATGAATATAAATGCAATCGGAGATCCAAGGGCTTCTGGAGTTGAATGAACCCGGGGAGGCAACTTAAGTTCAAGATAAGTGGTCTTGGATAATATTTCCTAAGCAGCTGGATGGTGTAACCCTCGAACCTATAGATTGCTAGTGAAACATATGCTTTTGGTACAAATATGACTTGACTAAAGTTAAAATTCTCACCTTGGTACATGTATCACTGTGCATAAAGCTTTAATATTACTGTTGAACAATGTTAAGTTCTCATGGCTATAAAATAATAATTTCATAAAGGGCCATAAACAGAATTACACACTTAAGTTTAACCCAAATTTTGATTGTTTTCCTATTCTCTTATCATTTCTTCAATTTGAGAAATGGAACAATAATAGTATCTACCTTAGGGAGTTCTTGGAAGTGTCAAGGGAGACAACACATACAAAGTGGTTAGCACAACACCTAGCACACAACAAGCACCACTTGACACCTGTTAGCTATTAACTGCCATCATCACCCTCAGTGGTAGTTACAGCAGCACCATTAGTGTTATTCTAGCAAGATCAGGTGACTTTCAAAATAAACCTTAGGAAAACTTTCATTTAGCAATTTCTCAGCTAAAAATGTTTTCTTCCAACATGTCATTGGTTATGTGATGTTAATGAGCATTTTAAATGAGAAATGTGACGGAAGAAAAATTCACAAGCAGGAGTAGACATATAAATTAAATATTTGGTGGCATCAGGTGAACACAGGAATAAATAAAGTTAGACACTGATCACCAAGAATAAATGATGTCAAGCTCATGTACATCCTTTACTCCAGATAATACTGAAGTGTCAGCATCCCAAGTATTTATGGGGGGAATCTTATTAACAGAGAAGGAACTGTATAAAAATAAGTGAAAATATACAGTGAATTTACATGCTATAAAATAGATACTCTACATTTATTAAAAATGAGTCTTACCTCATCAGGGCTAGGAATAATATTTACACTGACAACCTGATCACAAATAATAGACTCTGAGTGTATTCTGTTCAACCGACTCCTTAATTCAGCGTTCTGGTTGAGTGCCTTAAAACAACAAAAACAGCCCTTGTAATTTCTAATTAACAAGCAAGCATAAGACAGAACAAGTACACAGGTAAAAACTTAGACAACAAAGTCTGTGATATTCTTAGCTCTAAGTTTTGGGATCATCATGAGCCATATCTTGTTGGTAGAAGGAAATAAATGGCTCAGAACTAAGGAATTATTTTTTTTATAATATAAGATCATGCGTTAGTAAGTTAGTGAGCTGAAGGAGTTAGTGGATTTAATAAAACTGATTCATGGATTTTTTTTCTCTTGTAGATTCAGGCCCATTACATACAGGCCCTAGCCTAGCATCACATGGATATTGCTTTTTGCCGCCTGAGATGATTCTTTCATTTTTTAGTTCTAGTTCCTAAAGTTTGAGAGTCACTTTAAAGTCAGGTGGTTATCTTAAAAATTATTTGGAAGTGGAATGAAGAATGAATTGGCTTTAGTTTATAGAATTGTATTTGATTAAAGCAAACAGTTTCATCTTAATTTTCCAGAAGCATATAATTAATACACATGTCAGTGCAACAAAACTAACTTGAGCATAAACCCAAAGGTGCCTTCATGGAGCAGTGTAGACTTTGACAACCATAATAGAGAACAAAACACCAATAGTAAACCAACTCTAAGTTAGCTCCATCACACTACTTTCAACATACTACACACACACTAGCATCAGTTAAACACCATTTGCTATAACAGAGTTCAGTACATGCAGCAACTGCATTTATTATAAGAGCAGAATAGCCTCACATACAAATGGCCTCCCGATAAGGCCCTTGTGGACTAAGGTATAGTGTCCTCCATGGAGTGCACATCACATTGAAGGATAGGAATATTTTCCATTTATATAATAGAGATGTGGCTTACTGGAATTATGTCAGGCCTCAAATGTAACCCCTGGATGAGGATAAGACCCAGTGTAAAGATGTGCAATTCCTTTCCTTCCCATTAAAATTAGCAATTAGAAGATGGAGGTGGATAACTAACTAGAACAAATAAAAAATTATTATTAAAAAAAAAGAAGATGGAGGTGGATGTTTTAGAGGATATATGTTAGGTCTTACTAAAGAAGCCATCTGCCCCAGGAAATGGGCATTCTGCTTCATTCAAGTCAATAAATACAACAAACCAATACATGTACAAATGTAAACTCCTAATTATAACTCTGAATCTATTAAACACTTAGGGTGAACACACGTAAGTCAAACTCTATACTTGGGCAGGGAATACACCCTGAGCATGTGTAAGGACGTGCCTCTCTCCTCCCCATTCTGGTTTCCACTTCTGCCCTCTCTTCAACCCTGCTTTTGCTTTTTGAGAACAGAATTGTTCACTCACGGATTTTGGCTTTTGTTTAAAGCCTTCAGAAACCAGTTTATAAAATACATCAAATAACACACTTGGTCTGATGTGCCAAGTATTGGTGGATACAGATCCAACAGCCACTGCATTTGGAGATATGAGGAAATGTGTCCCTGGTTATTTGAGAAATCACGACTGTGTTAGAAAAAAAAAGAGAGGTGATTATGTTCTTATTAAATAAACCATGTACCCTAAAGGAAGAATCCTAATATCTTTTTGTCTTGTAAAACTGCTCAGGATCATTTTTCTTGGGGCAAAATCTTGAAAACTCAGAATTTGAAAAAAAAAATACTGTGCTAATCTTATCCTTTATGACTACTATATATAGACATGTTTATTTATTTATTTATTTTTCATTATTTCTCTGCCTACACTATGTGCAAAGTTATCTTAGCTACTGAAATATCTGAAACAAGACACACTTTGCCACCATGTCATTGGGAGGCCTCACGGTAAGATGCTTGATGGGTTTAATTGCAGAATCACTGTCTTGACCTGAGGGTTTTACATAAACCTCAACTAATGGTTCCTCTAAAGTGACTGCCCCTTCTGTTGCCGCTGGAATGGTGTTAATGAAATAACCCTGTAAAATCTCAAGGGCAAGGATAAGTAAGGCTTTTCTTCAGGGTGGGAATGTTAAACATAGGTTTGCCATTTATAAGGAAAGTTGTAGAATTGTTTGCTCTGGATATTTAAAAATATTAAATTTTCATTAAGTTTTCACCTTATCCAATGCAATCCTGCCGATAAGTATGTGTGAAGGGCACACAAGATAACTTCTAGCCATTAATATCAGTAGAGGAATAAGCTAAAAGGGGTTTTTAAAAAATCATCTGAAAATAATTTTTCTTTTTCTTAGATATCATGTGAAAAGTTAAAATCCTGGCCTGGGAGTCAAAAGATGAAGTTTTCTTGATTCCAAGGCTCAGTGGTCTTTATACTTATCCCTTGTTGGGCCTCAATTTCTTTCTCTTCTCTTTTAGACAGATCTTGCTAAGTTGCTCAGGCTGGCCTCAAATCAAGGATCCATCCGCCTCAATCTCTTGAGTAGCTGGGATTACAGGTGTTAGCCACCATGTGCCTTAATTTCTTTAGTAAACAATACTGCAGTTATATTAGTTAACCTTTAAAGTCCATTTCAGATTTGATTGAAATGCTAAGTTAGAATTTTCAACAGTGTTTTCTGGTTATCCTGGAGTTGGTAGTTTCAGAAAACTACCAACTCCAGGATAGCGTAAAAGTAATTCCGGGTTTGGGATGGGAGAGTTGATTTCATTGTGGTTAGCAGGAATTTTCTTGTTGTTACATAGCACAGAAAGCATGGGAATAAATAATTTCATCTCTGGCAATCCCCATGGTGGAAAGTATAATTGAGAACCAAGCATGCAACAGCCCACTTCTGCCCCTCTCACTAGACCTGGCTCCTCCTTTTGCCTTGATCACAGACTATTTTTGATTTGCTACAGCTGAATGTTGTGAGCTCTGTGGTGTAGCAGTCTTGGGTTGTATTCCAGATCATATTGAGTATTTCCCTCTCTGAAGTTCACCTATTTTTTCTCTAATAATATGGAAATCTTGAAAAATTAAGTCATCACAATGGAAATGATGCTTTTAGTGAAAGAGCCTAGAAAATGGCAGAAATAATGTAGGGGGTGCACCCAAGGAGAGTGAACAGTGGTAATGCAAGGAAAAAGGAGGCAGATCACCAGCCACTGGTGCCAGCCAATGAGCAAGGAAAGCTATGAAGACTTGTCAGTAGTAGCATTGCTTTATCAGTGGCATGTAGGATCACAGCCTAACAGGGAGGAAGCACCTGGAAACTAGAAACTGCCTAAAGCTTCTCCAAACAGGCTTTACACATATTTCACTACTTATCTAGTGAATTTGGACAGTGCTAAAAACTCTATAGAGCATGCTCATTTCCCCATGCTTCATGCCCCTCACATACATTCAAGTCTAATATATCCAAGAAACATACCATTCTTTCTCAATCCATAAAAGAAGTTTCCATTTTGAAGTTCTGAGCCAGAATCAATTACCTAAATACATACTTTTTTAGCTATAGACCCTCTCAGATATGGGGAGAATTTACCTTAGACTGAGTGAGACAATGGCATAAATACTAAGTGGAATGTGGGTTCTGGAAAGAAAACAGGGCTGCCTGATGGCTGGAGAAGGATTTGAAACACATGGCAAGATGGAACCGCCGTAACACCAAACCATTTGTATAAAAGCAAAACTGGTTCAGAAGAAGTGAGAAAACAGATAGATACAGCTAGGACTGCCAAAAGCCAAGTTCTGGGCATCTCTTAGAAATCACCTTGTTTTTTTCAATTAAAAAATACTATTATATTTGGAAAATGCAAACAAAGTAGAAAAACATTTTAAAAAATTCATACCTTACTACTACCAAATTGTTGGCAGTTTGGTTTCTTTCTTTCTAGTTTTTTTTCTTAAGTGTTTTTTTTTTATATTGTTTACTGGGTGTGTAGTTACCAACTTGTAGCTGCCCCTTATTCTTTGCACATAAACATTTATTTTATATTGCAACCTTTTCATTAACATGAGTTTGATAGTTGCATAATAAGCAATGATTTCCTATTATTGGGCACTTATATGGTTGCTGATTTTTTACTAAAATAAGTAATATACCATGAAAATTTATGTGCATAATTATTTTCTGTAATCACGTTACTTCTAGTCATATTAACAAGGATCTACCGGATCAAGGAGTAAAAACTTTGAAAGGCTTTCAAAATATTGCCAAATTATGGATAAAACAATAGCAACTTGAGACAGAACTAAAAATGATGTAAAGGAGTCTATGAAAAATATCTTTACACATAACAAATTTGGCCAAGCCCCAGGGAACTGTGGAATTCAGAAATAAATAAATACACTTGAAATTTTTATCCCATCACAGAATATTTATTTTGGTTATGTGAAATGTTGTGGACAGGCAGAATGACAGATTCTACAATTGGGATTTTAAATTACACTACTCTGAGCCTTAAGCCAATTTTTTTTTTTTTTGCCTACAATCTCATACAGACCATATTTCACTGATTCTAAGATGCACATTTCCCCCTACACTGAGCACCTCTGAAGCACTGTGTCAGTTCAATTGACAGTAATGGTTTCTTTCTTTCTCAGTAATGCACAAAATAATGATGCATCTAACAATTTACAGCATATTGACTTAATGAACTATAGTAATTCTAGCTAGAATAGATGGTCATATACAGTTGCTCCCATTTATATGGACCCCAATTCCTACTACATTCTGCACAAACTGTGCACGAAGTCCAGGGCAAGAAATCAAACTAGTAACAGTGGTAGAGGGTAATATACTGAAGACAGACTCAAGTAGTCTTGAATCTTCTATTATTATGGTAATCAGGAGTGCCAAGGTTGACTTTGTCTTATTATATATTATTTAATTTTGGGATTCAGAGTACTACACAAATCAGGACATGACATTAGAGCTGAAATTATAAGGACAGAGCTATATAAAATGTCCTGCCCTACAAGTGTAAGTCCAACATGGATGCTTTTGCTCCAGTGTGAAAGTTAATTTAAGTTTTATGAGGGTAAAACAACAGAATTATGTGTGCGTGTGTGTGTTTGTGTGTGTACATATATTATAGTAAGAGAAGAAGTCATCTGGCTGTCCATCTTGGCAAACTGTTACTTGCTCAAGGCAGGCAACAATTTATGCTGAGCATGTAGTGAAGAATGCTAATTTCATGTGTTTTATATGCTATGTGCCTGCTAAAAGGATGATGGAATTTGCTGAAGTGATATATCTACTTAACAGTCTCATTGAAAAGCAGCATTTTAATAATTAGATATATATCGAATAGGTCTTATGTCAAATAAAATATATAAGCTTTAAAAATGTTAGACTTTAAATTATTTAAATACCATCTCTATCCTTCCTTCCCTCTCTGGTGGAGAGACCCAGTCATGAAAATGTTATCTGAGGGTTTAACTGATGACATTTGAATATGGACCAAAGATATCCTTAGGCTACCTAAAATCACACTACAATGTAAAATTATACTAATATAAAATACACTCAGAACTTGGAGAACAATTGTCTCGATGTATGAAAGCTATTTGGTATTTGTAAAAAAAAAATTTTTTTCTTTTTGGTGTTGGGGATAGAACCCAGGACCTTGCAAGTGCTAGGTAAGCACTCTATCACTGGGTTACACCCCAGCCTTATTGTTCAGTCTCAAGTGCTATATTAAAAAGGAGACTGAAAATAGAGCTGGTCAACCAGGATGGTTGCCCAGTTGCTTCCGACCTTCAACATCTCTATACCTGCTGGCTCTTTGCCCTTATGATATAGTCATACTATGACAACTGCCAAATTCCAGGGCTGACTTTTAGTCTACATTTTATTTTCTGCTAAATTTGATGCTAACTTTTTCCTTCTTGAGATCATCAAAACTCCACCCTTTATCTCAACAGTCATCACTCCTAAATTCCTTGGTTGCTTCCCCTGGGTTTCCATCAAAGGAGCTCTTTCTTAGACTGTCCTTAAAATATTAACATTCTGTATAGCAGCTCCAGTATCACTGAACCCCTTTTATTCTGATTGAAAACACAACTGATCAACTTCTATAAGTTCACGGGTATACTAGAGTATCCACATCTTTTTCTCTGACTGTCTGTTGATATGTGTAACCTGCTGGATGTCCCTCAGACATCTCCATCTCTGCAAAATCACTCATTGCACAATAAACCAGTTCCTCTTCTATGAGCTCTCTGAGAAGAAAGAACTATCATACAGCCAGTTATTCAAGTAAAAAGCCTGGACTTGTCTTGGCTCTGTTTTGTGGTCCCTTGCTAATAATGTTCAGCTGTAAGCCAAGCTGATTATGTGTCTCTTTGTGTCTCTGAAACTGATCCCTTCCTCTATAAAGGCTGGTACTTCCTTAGTTCAGGAATATTACCTTGAGTATCACAAACCATTCTCAAATTATCTTGAATACTATGTACCTGCCAAACTAGTTTTGTTTTAATTCTACTAAATCTCTATACTATACAAGACTAATCTTTCTAATATACAGAAATATGAAATAATATTTCCAATCTCTGGCATTATCATTCACCAGTTAAATTTTCTTAAGTACTCCCCATCACTGAAAGGAAAAATTTAAACTCCTTCATGTAGCCCCAATGGGCTGATTTCCACTACTTAACCAGTAACTCTTAAAGTAGCTTCCTTATTCACTCCATTCTCCATACACCTTTCCAGTGGTCTAACCATGGATAGTAAGTAATTCACCAGAAAGCAGTGAAATGTCAGTAAACTTAAATGCTAACCATAGGGTGGGGTGATTTCTAAACCAGAGTCCAAACTTAGAGCTTATGAGAAAGAAGGCTAGAGAGGGAAGGACTGGCCCAATTGGAGGGTCCAGATGGACACAAGAATGTGAACAAACGTGAAATGCTGTGGTAATACATAATTGCAATCACTGGATTATCTAATGAATAGGAGCATGAGTCTTTATGTCCCCAATTATTTTCATATCTTTTGATTCCTTAAAAAAAAACTAAATAAAATAAACAAAACCCTCCAAACCCCAGGAAAAAAACTATTGGGGCTCTGACTTTAGATGCTAATAAATATGTCTTTGTAAGAGAGAGAAATATTTTAGCCCAAAGGATGCAGAGTTGATATAATTTTTGCTTGATTTTACTTTTATCATGTTAGTATCAGTTTCTTCCTTGTCTGCTCAGGAAGTCAGATCTGGACTGTGCTGTCAGCTCAGGGATCTACCATTCTTCTAAACAACCAGAGCTCTGGAAATCTGCACCATCATACTCCGGGAACAGTACAGTATGGTCCATTTAACTGTTTCTTTGGCAAATACTGCTGATCTCACTAACCAGAGCACGAGCCTCCTGGGAAACAGGTGCATAGTATGCCAAATCTTGCATAATACCTAGTAAAGTCAGTTGAATGAGAAATGAATAACTTTTAAAATTTCTCTTCCTAGTCATTTCTAATTTCACCTGAAGCTCAAAAGCAAGCAAGCAGCAAGCAAGAGGCAAATTTTCTTATTTATCTTAGTATAAGCTTGATTTATATCATTAAGCTTCTATCATTAAGCCCATCTTAAAGAAACACTGCAACATTTAGGGGATCAAGAATATATTTTATGTGTATTTACAAGGTGACATCTGCATGTTTATTTGTCCATGATTTGAAAGATCAATTAATATCAGCTGAGTATTCAACAGATAAATGGCATGAGATGAGTCCAGGAAGAATATTTAATGTACTTTTCCCCACCCTGTTGACTGGAGATTGAACCTTGGAGTGACCCACAACTGAGCTACATTCCCAGTCCTTTTCATTTTTTTGAGACAGGGCTTTGCTAAGTTGCCTGGGCTGGCCTCAAACTTGAGATCCTCCTGCTTCAGCCTCTGAGTCTCTGTGATGACAGAGTCTCTGTGATGACAGAGTCTCTGTGATTATAGGCATGCACCACCACTCCCTGCTCTTTAAAGTATTCTTATGAATGAAGCCCTCTGCAGCCTGGCAGAACAGGTGCACATGCTTCTGAGGCCCCTGGCTTAGCACTGGAAGCAGCGTATGCACCTCAGCCAACAGTGTTTCATGGTGAATGCTGAAAAGTGGCCCAGATGGCAGCACTCCATAACATGAAACAACACTGAGTATATGCTGACAGTTCAGGTACATAAAACATGTGATACAGTTTACATCTAAGTTTCAGGGACTGAGGGAAGATATTCAAGCAGGATCTCATCCATATGGAGAACCACTTACCCAGGATTTGCTTGCTCCTTCACTCTGATCCAAGGCACCAGGAAGTGAACAATATTTTACATGAACACTGAGTTCTCACAAAAATCATACAAAACATTAAATTCTTAGAGGAAGTAAAATAAGTGCATTTATGGACTAACAGAAGAAAATATTTACTTCAGAGGAAGTGCTTGGTATAAAAAGTCATAAGCACAGCTTTAAAGGATTTGTGTCAGAAATCTCAAGTTTGATATATGCAGAGATTTGGTTAGTTTTAGCAAGAGCAACTAAATAATACATATTGACGTATAATAGTCTAGCTTCAGGGAGCATATCTTAGCTTGGAAGAAAATCCCTAAAATGAAAACCAGAAAAGAAAAAAAAATGGGTTCATAGTAATTGGCAATTTTCAACAGATTAAAAATCTAAGTGGGAGAAATATTAAGAGTGAAGGACCTAGGAAATTCTATTTTTAACCATTGGACTGGATATATTCTAGAACATACTTTATATATGCAAATCATCTATATATATATATATATATATTCTAGAACATACTTTATATATGCAAATCACTCTTACCCTTGACATTTTGGGAAAAAAACCATAATAAAATTCAATCCTGACATTGCAACATCTTGGGAGATTTCAGAGGACTGTGTCATTGCTAGGACTGACCACCTCCACCCCCATCTCTTGCCTGACAGAATTGGGACTGTGTCATGCACATGAAAACAAACACTCTCATTTACCTGAGACAGTGACTGTCGGAGCCGGGCCATCTGCGAGCTGTGGCCTTTATTGTGATCCTGCTCAGAAACCATCTGCTTCAGCTTCTCTTTCTCAATAGCTATGCTATTAAATGCAGACTTCAAAAGAGAATGTACTGGATGGGGACAAATGTGAGAAGCAAATATAAACACATCCAGAAAGAATATACAAAATGATAAACTTTTCATACCTAGACATTGTTTGGAAAGGCCATGCTACAATTTAATTAAAAATCAGCTTTAAAAATGGAATTTATCAGAATATCTATACTTAAAACAAGCATGGCAATTGTAATGAATTAGGGTGAAAATTTTAGGGTTTCATATCAGACAAAACAACAAAGATTTGGAACTAGCATATGCAATATCAAAATCCACTCTGAATATCAGTATTCAGAAATGAATTTATAATGCCTAGAAGTAACAGAGAACACGTTTTGTTTGTCATATTTGATAATATTTTGAGCAGTTTTGTGTAGCATAAAGTGTCATACAAATAATTTAGAGTTATTCAAAATTATTTCCCCAAAGCATACACCCCAAAAAAAGCATTTTATGAATCATGTCAATATAAAAAAGGCAGCTGATCTAGACGTTCTGGTTAATTCCCTTGGCGGTAGGAAATGATTTGGCTTTAAGAACAGCACTTGGATTGCTTTCTCACCCAGGAATGTCTAGATGTCAAAAGTACTTTGATTTAAAAGCGACAATAAAAAACACCACCTCTCCCTCCATTTCCTACATACCTGACAACTTATATTGGTAAAATCTGAAACAGTCTTTCATTTTGAACTACAAAAAGGATGAATTTCCAACTTCTATTTTCTACAATAACAGTTACTATAATATGCAGCTTTTAAAAATAGATATTTATTTGAGATATATATTATTTTTAACAGAAGTGGAAAATTTTCAGCACAAAATACAGCCACTAAATCAAAGGGGGAAACTGCAGGATCCCAAGGGATTCACATCTATTGATTTGTATGTTACATTCCATCATCCATTTAAAGGTAATAACTTGATAGCTGAAATGCATTAACCCTGCCAGGAACTCTAAAAGCAGACTCCACACCAGTTTTAAAGCTCATAATGCTTTCTAAAGAGTTCACCCAACAGTCATGGTAAACACCCTCCTCTTTTTTTCTAGCATAGAGAATTTGTATGTCTGTTGAAAAGAAAACATGTAATTTCAACAGAGGCTTTAAAAGTCTGTTGAAACTTGGGTCTCCTGAAAGCTTCAGGATTGCAACCAAATACACAACGTTTTCCTGGGGTGCCTTCAAATTAACCCATATCCCTTTAGCAGTTCTGCTATGCTCACATGCTTCTCTCCACTCATAAATTTGCTGTCTCATTCTACCTGATGCCATCCTACCCCAGAAGTAAAAGTTACTGGCTTGAATCTATGCTATTATATGAACAAACTATTATTGCTTTAGTTGAATAACATCATTAGCATCCCGTTAATAATGCAATGAAAATGCATTTACTGGGAGTAAAAAGGCAGTGGGAGATGTTGGCCTTACACAATCTCAACTGACAAACAGAAAAAAAGATTAAGCCACTTTTAGGATTATGGCATGAAAGAAACATCTATGTTATCTGATGATCTCTCAAATACCTGATATCTGAAATTTGAATAGTAAGACTAATCTTGGAAGCCAAGGTTCTTGTTAAATACCCCAGAATATCTTTTCTGATGGTTTGATTTCTTCAAGTTCAGGATTTCTAGAGACATCCTCAGGGTACACCCCTCCCTCTTTCTTTCCCTGGGCCACCATGATTTTGAGTGTTAAGAGACACTGAGATGCTCCATTTAACTTGTATTTTCAATAGTATTTTATAACTTACTATAAGCAGCCCCCAAGGGAAATAAATGGTTAGTTCACAACTAAGTGTTAGTGATTAAAAACACAATGTGCCGCCAGCGCCCAGAGCAGGCCCAGCGGCTCGCCAGCGTGGTGACCGCGTGACCCCAATTGGAGAGGGGGCAGAGCGGAGCCGCCACCCGCACCCGCAAGGTGGGCAGACCCGCGACCCAGTGGTACATGGGCGTGGTAGGAGGGGCAGGGCAGAGCCGCCGTTCGCGCTGGCAAGGTAAACAGACCTGTGACAGCCTGGCGGGTCAGGCCCAGTGGCCTGCCAGTGTGGTACACACGTCACCCCAACTGGAGTAGGGGCAGAGCAGATCCTTCTGCCACGCCCGGATCAGGCCCTGCCGGTGTGGTGGTCATGTGACCCCAATTGGAGTGGGGGCGGAGCGGAACCGCCACCCGTGCCCGCAGGGTGAGCAGACCAGTGATCAACCTGCAGATCAGGCCCAGGGGTCCGCAGGCGTGGTAGGAGGGGCAGGGCAGATCCGCCGCCCGTGCCTCCAAGGTAGGCAGACCTACAACAGACCGGTGGATCAGGCCCAGGAGCCTGCCGGCGTGGTACAAACACCACCCTAATTGGAGTAGTGGCAGAGCAGAGTCACCGCCCGTGCCAGGAACAGGCCCAGCGTCCTGCAGGCGGGGTAGTCACGACACCCCAATTGGAGTAGGGGCAGAGCAGAGCCTCCACCCGTGCCCGAAAGGTGGGCAGATCTGCGACCGACCAGCGGGACAGGCCCAGTGGCCTGCCGGTACAACAGACACGTCACCCCATTTGGAGTAGGGGCAGAGTAGAGCCGCCTCCCGCGCCTGCAGGGTAGGCAAACCTGCAACCGACCGGCGGATCAGGCCCGGTGGCCTGCCGGCGTGGTACACTCGTCACCCCAATCGGAGCAGGGGCAGAACAGAGCCGCCGCCAGCTCCCAGAACAGGCCCAGTGACCTGCCGGCGTGGTAGCCACGAAACCCCAATTGGAATAAGGAGAGAGCAGAGCCGCCGCCCGCACCTGCAGGAAAGATACGCAAGCAGTATGAAAAGACAAGGAAAGAAAGGACCACAAGCAATGCAGGTCAACGCAACTTTAGAAGAGGTAACAGCTGCAGCAGATGGAATGTCAGATAAAGAATTCAGGATATACATGCTTCAAATGATCTGGAGTATCAAGGAAGACATTAAACAGCAAAATCAGACAATGAAAGATCACTTCGACAACGAATTACGCAAACAAATCCAGGAAGCAAAGGATCAACTATACAGGGAGATAGAGGTTATAAAAAACAAACAGAAATCCTAGAAATGCAGGAAGCAATAAACCAACTTAAAAACTCAATGGAGAATACTACCAGCAGAGTAGAACACTTAGAAGATAGAACATCAGACAATGAAGACAAAGTATTTCAACTGGAAAAGAACATAGACAGCTCAGCAAGACTGTTAAGGAACCATGAGCAGAACATCCAAGAAATATGGGATAACATTAAGAGACCAAACTTAAGAGTCATTGGGATACAGGAAGGTACAGAGCTCCAAACCAAAGGAATGAGAAGTCTATTCAATGAAATAATACAAGAAAACTTCCCAGACTTGAAGAATGAGACAGAATCCCAAATCCTAGAAGCCTACAGGACGCCAAATGTGCAAAATCATAAGAGAGCCACACCTAGACACATTATAATGAAGATGCCCAACATACAGAATAAGGAGAGAATTTTAAAAGCTACAAGAGAAAGGAAGCAGATTACATTTAGGGGTAAGCCAATCAGGATAACAGCTGATCTTTCAACACAGACTCTGAAAGCTAGAAGATCCTGGAATAACATATTTCAAACACTGAAAGAAAATGGGTTCCAACCAAGAATTGTGTATCCAGCGAAATTAAGCTTCAGGATGGAAGATGAAATTAAAACCTTCCACGATAAACAAAAGTTTAAAGAATTCGCAGCTAGAAAACCATCTCTTCAAAACATCCTCGCCAAAGCATTACAGGAAGAGGAAATGGAAAATAACAATGAAAACCAACAGTGGGAGGTAGGACAGTAAAGGGGGGGGGAATAATCAAAGAGGAAAACAAACCATGTTTAGTAACAGAAATAAACAAATATGGCTGGAAGAACAACCCATATCTCAATAATAACCCTAAATGTTAATGGCTTAAACTCACCAATTAAGAGACACAGGCTAGTAGAATGGATCACAAAACAAGACCCAACAATATGCTGCCTACAGGAGACGCATTTGATAGGAAAAGACATACATAGGCTGAAGGTGAAAGGTTGGGAAAAATCATATCACTCATATGGACTTCGGAAACAAGCAGGAGTGTCCATACTCATATCAAATAAAATAGATTTCAAGCCAAAGTTAATCAAAAGAGATAAAGAGGGACACTACATACTGCTTAAGGGAACCATACAACAACAAGACATAACAATCATAAATATTTATGCCCCAAACAATGGTGCAGCTATGTTCGTCAAACAAACTCTTCTCAAGTTCAAGAGTCTAATAGACCACCATACCATAATCATGGGAGACTTCAACACACCTCTCTCGCCACTGGACAGATCTTCCAAACAAAAGTTGAATAAGGAAACTATAGAACTCAATAACACTATTAATAACCTAGACCTAATTGACATATATAGAGTATACCACCCAACATCAAGCAGTTACACTTTTTTCTCAGCAGCACATGGATCCTTCTCTAAAATAGATCATATATTATGTCACAGGGCAACTCTTAGACAATATAAAGGAGTAGAGATAATACCATGCATCTTATCTGATCATAATGGAATGAAACTGAAAATCAACAATAAAAGAAGGAAGGAAAAAGCATACATCACTTGGAGAATGAACAATAGGTTACTGAATGATCAATGGGTTATAGAAGACATCAAGGAGGAAATTCAAAAATTCTTAGAGATTAATGACAACACAGACACAACATATCGGAATCTATGGGACACATTAAAAGCAGTTCTAAGAGGAAAATTCATTGCTTGGAGTTCATTCCTTAAAAAAAGAAAAAAACCAACAAATAAATGATCTCATACTTCATCTCAAAATCCTTGAAAAAGAAGAGCAAAACAACAGCAAAAGAAGTAGAAGGCAAGAAATAATTAAAATCAGAGCTGAAATTAATGAAATCGAAACAAAAGAAACAATTGAAAAAATTGACAAAACTAAAAGTTGGTTCTTTGAAAAAATAAACAAAATCGACAGACCCTTAGCCATGCTAGCGAAGAGAAGAAGAGAGAGAACTCAAATTACTAGCATATGGGATGAAAAAGGCAATATCACAACAGACACTTCAGAAATACAGAAGATAATCAAAAACTATTTTGAATCCTTATACTCCAACAAATTAGAAGATAGTGAAGGCATAGATAAATTTCTTAAGTCATATGATCTGCCCAGATTGAGTCAGGAGGATATAGAAAATCTAAACAGACCAATATCAATTGAGGAAATAGAAGAAACCATAAAAAGACTACCAACTAAGAAAAGCCCAGGTCCGGATGGGTATACAGCAGAATTTTACAAAACCTTTAAAGAAGAACTAATACCAATACTTTTCAAGCTACTTCAGGAAATAGAAAAGGAGGGAGAACTTCCAAATACATTCTATGAGGCCAACATCACCCTGATACCTAAACCAGACAAAGACACTTCAAAGAAAGAAAACTACAGACCAATATCTCTAATGAACCTAGATGCAAAAATCCTCAATAAAATTCTGGCGAATCGGATACAAAAACATATCAAAAAAATTGTACACCATGATCAAGTAGGATTCATCCCTGGGATGCAAGGCTGGTTCAATATACGGAAATCAATAAATGTTATTCACCACATCAATAGACTTAAAAATAAGAACCATATGATCATCTCGATAGATGCGGAAAAAGCATTCGACAAAGTACAGCATCCCTTTATGTTCAAAGCTCTAGAAAAACTAGGGATAACAGGAACATACCTCAATATTGTAAAAGCAATCTATGCTAAGCCTCAGGCTAGCATCATTCTGAATGGAGAAAAACTGAAGGCATTCCCTCTAAAATCTGGAACAAGACAGGGATGCCCTCTCTCTCCACTTCTGTTCAACATAGTTCTCGAAACATTGGCCAGAGCAATTAGACAGACGAAAGAAATTAAAGGCATAAAAATAGGAAAAGAAGAACTTAAATTATCACTATTTGCAGATGATATGATTCTATACCTAGCAGACCCAAAAGGCTCTACAAAGAAACTATTAGAGCTAATAAATGAATTCAGCAAAGTGGCAGGATATAAAATCAACACGCATAAATCAAAGGCATTCCTGTATATCAGCGACAAATCCTCTGAAATGGAAATGAGGACAACCACTCCATTCAAAATATCTTCAAAAAAAATAAAATACTTGGGAATCAACCTAACAAAAGAGGTGAAAGACTTATACAATGAAAACTACAGAACCCTAAAGAGAGAAATAGAAGAAGATCTTAGAAGATGGAAAAATATACCCTGTTCATGGATAGGCAGAACTAACATCATCAAAATGGCGATATTACCAAAAGTTCTCTATAGGTTTAATGCAATGCCAATCAAAATCCCAACGGCATTTCTTGTAGAAATAGAGAAAGCAATCATGAAATTCATATGGAAAAATAAAAGACCCAGAATAGCAAAAACAATGCTAAGCAGGAAGTGTGAATCAGGCGGTATAGCGATACCAGACTTCAAACTATACTACAGAGCAATAGTAACAAAAACAGCATGGTACTGGTACCAAAACAGACGGGTGGACCAATGGTACAGAATAGAGGACACAGAAACCAATCCACAAAACTACAACTATCTTATATTTGATAAAGGGGCTAAAAGCATGCAATGGAGGAAGGATAGCATCTTCAACAAATGGTGCTGGGAAAACTGGAAATCCATATGCAACAAAATGAAACTGAATCCCTTTCTCTCGCCATGCACAAAAGTGAATTCAAAATGGATCAAGGAGCTTGATATCAAATCAGAGACGCGCCGTCTGATAGAAGAAAAAGTTGGCTACGATCTACAGTCGGTGGGGTCGGGCTCCAAATTCCTCAATAGGACACCCATAGCACAAAAGTTAATAACTAGAATCAACAAATGGGACTTAATCAAACTAAAAAGTTTTTTCTCAGCAAAAGAAACAATAAGAGAGGTAAATAGGGAGCCTACACCCTGGGAACAAATCTTTACTCCTCACACTTCAGATACAGCCCTAATATCCAGAGTATACAAAGAACTCAAAAAATTAGACAATAAGAGAACAAACAACCCAATCAACAAATGGGCCAAGGACCTGAACAGACACTTCTCAGAGGAGGACATACAGTCAATCAACAAGTACATGAAAAAATGCTCAACATCTCTAGCTGTCAGAGAAATGCAAATCAAAACCACCCTAAGATACCATCTCACTCCAGTAAGATTGGCAGCCATTAAGAAGTCAAACAACAACAAGTGCTGGCGAGGATGTGGGGAAAAGGGTACACTTGTACATTGCTGGTGGGACTGCAGATCGGTGCAGCCAATTTGGAAAGCAGTATGGAGATTTCTTGGAAAGTTGGGAATGGAGCCACCATTTGACCCAGCTATTCCCCTTCTTGGTCTATTCCCTAAAGACCTAAAAAGGGCATGCTACAGGGACACTGCTACATCGATGTTCATAGCAGCACAGTTCACAATAGCAAGACTGTGGAACCAATCTAGATGCCCTTCAATAGACGAATGGATAAAAAAAATGTGGCATTTATACACAATGGAGTATTACTCTGCATTAAAAAATGACAAAATCATAGAATTTACAGGGAAATGGATGGCATTAGAGCAGATTATGCTAAGTGAAGCTAGCCAATCCCTAAAAAACAAATGCCAAATGTCTTCTTTGATATAAGGAGAGTAACTAAGATCAGAGTAGGGACGAAGAGCAGGAGAAGAAGATTAACATTTAACAGGGATGAGAGGTGGGAGGGAAAGGGAGAGAGAAGGGAAATTGCATGGTAATGGAAGGAGACCCTCAGGGTTATACAGTGGAGGAGGTAGAGAGAGAGGAGGGGAGGGGAGGGGAGAGGAGAGGTGGGGAGGGTGGAGGGGGGAGGACGGGGAAGGCAGTGGAGCACAACAGACACTAGTATGGCAATTTGTAAATCAATGGATGTGTAACTGATGTGATTCTGCAATCTGGGTATGGGGTGAAGGTGGGAGTTCATAACCCACTTGAATCAAAGTGTGGAATATGATATGTCAAGAAATTTGTAATGTTTTGAACAACCCACAATAAAAAATTAAAAAAAAAAAACACAATGTATATTTCTCTTTAAAGGTCACATTATATTTGTTGTTACCTTTCTGTGCAATGAGACAAAATTCTTCTTGAAGCTTTGTATAATCTGTTGAACTTTCCAGAGGGTCAGTGAGGTGGCTGGGGGGAGTCTGAAATTCAATATCTGCACAAAGGTTGGGGTTGGAGGAATGCAAGCGAACTGGTGACATGGTGGCACTGAAAGGAACCTGAAAGGGGAAGATACAAATTATTAAAGAGCAATAGTGCACTGTTCCACCTGCTCCTACATAGAGAAGATCTCCCTTAGTCTTTAAAATAATAGATTCCTCTCTAGTGACACACTCAGAGACTCAGTACTCATTTATTTTACAGGTAGTTGGGCTGGGACGTGGAGTCTTGTTTCCTAGAGTTGATTTATAACTGCCATGGACTCACTGGTTTCACTGTTACAGAGAGAGATGACAACAGAATGACAGCAAGAAGAGGCATAGCCTATTTAAGCTTCAACTCTGAACCCACACAGGTACCTGAAAAATAACTGTCAGAAAACTGAATTGACTACAAGTGTTGCTCATTCCTCTCTAAGCTGGGAGTAGGATCTTACTAATATATAAAAATTTGAGAGATATGTATAGAGAAAGATTCATTTGCTCCACAGCCCCTTAGACAACATGCAAATAAAGTTTTGTAGAAAATACAATAATGGCTTAAAGAGACTCACTATTATTTTTGAGATGGATTTATTAAAATATATATTAGTAAACAGAATGTACATCAATCACTGTAGTTTACCTTTGTAAATATATAATCATGTTATAGCTATATGAACATGGCTTTTGAACAGACCAATCTTAAAAAGCATTATGTAGAAAAAGTCATATTAACTATAGATTTTCCTAAAAGGTTAGAATGCTTACCTGCCCAGGCTGGCTCTGGACTGGGCTTGTGACAGGTGGAGGCAAAGCACCTTTCCTCCCCTCCCCTTCAAGAAGACTCTCCCTGAGCATCACAAATGCTGTTGGCCAACCATTCTTAAAAACACCAATTCCTCTTGCAGTCATATAACCAGTCATTTCTAGCTAAATCTACTGCATACAAGTTCATTCAGTTGTCCTCAGGAACCATACTCTAGACTCCACCACAAGCTGAGTTTTATAGAATTGAAGGAATGATTCCTATTCCCTAACAGGAAATATGCCAGGGGAGGAAAGAACCATTACTTTCTCTGATGTGTATATTATGTCAGAAACATTTCTTTTTGAATTTTTTTTGCTTTAAACTTCTTAACAGATTTGGTGAGCTAGATAGGGCAGGGAAAGAGGGCACACCTTGTCTCTGAGAGACAGAGGACATATGGAGAAGGTGTAAAGCACCAAAAATTCTGGCCTGAGGTGAAACCCAAGGGCAGTTAAGACCAGACAGAGAACTTCTCTGATGTAATTCTGCCTTGGCAAGGAGTTATTTACCTCAAAAGATACCCAAGGTTTACCAGGGAAGGAAGGGAACATGAAGTTTTCCCTCTGAATTCACCTAAGGTAAGCATGTTAACATACATGGTCCAAAGCATTTGGTACCTGGAGTTATCAAAGTCACTCTACCTCATCCTCCATGGGAACCTTGGCTACCCTGAGCTGGGAGATATCAACTGCTTGTTCAACTTATCATGCACAAAACTTCTGTCTGTTCCGGATTGAAAGAAAGAAGTGGCAAAGAAGCCACTTGAGAAAATAGTACAACGGGGTTCAATAATTTGCTGAAATCCTGCCTAGGTTACTTTTAGAAGAATACTGAGGTCCTTTAGGGATACCTACAAAGGAATGGGATTTACGTGGAAGAAAGTCTGGAAATAGACAAAGGAAATCTAACTGTGGTGATGCTGATCTAGAAAGAGTAGTCTGCTCAAATCCCTATAGAGTAACAGAGAATCCATGAAAAGGTTAGTGAAGATAAGAAGGTCAAGGGAAGAGACTATGAGTTGAAGACATGGGTGGACCAAGAAGTTTTCACACTTAAGGATACAGCTTTCTCATCCAAGGAACTAGAAGAGCACTAAGAAAAATGAATGTGGGTGTTGGGTAATGGGAGGGGCGGGCACATGTGCTGAATTTCACAGAAGAGGGTTCATATGCACTCAGAAGCCCTCCATACTCCAAGGACCCACCTGGCTTAGGAGTCCCTTCTGAATGGGTGGGGAGAAGGTCATGAAAGCTGGGGGAGAGTATGCATGAGGGCCATTACACAGTGAAAAGTAAGGACCCGCACTTGTCCCTGAGATAATGGCCTTTCAAATGTTGGAGTCAGATACTGAGAACATATACATAAGTTACAAATTTATATTTTGAACATAATGGAAATTTAAATAGGCTATTAAAACAGTGAAAGTGGTTTTGTATATTACCCACAGGGAAAGGAACGCAGAATGCTCCATTCAAACTGCAATCAGATGGTTCCCTGGGAAATTGAAAACTAATTTCTATATACTTCTTACTGAAAATGTTTAATGTATTGATACTTTTTTGTTAAAGAAGTGTGTTGAATGGGTTATTTTAATTGAGGAATTCATGAAATGAAATGAGAATACAAGTTGAGTTGTATTATCTAACTGAATATCTCTTCACTCTGGGGATGAACTTATTTATTTATTCAGATTTTTTTACTCATCAAGTATTTAGGGATTCAAATACTTAAATGCTAGCTTATTTCTCTATCAGTGATGGCTACAAAGGGAGTTGCCAACAGTTCTCCATTGTTATGCTTGAGAATCCTCAATGTTGTATATGGGCCTTTCTATTCTGCTCTGGAAGGAAATTCAAAGCTTCCTTTAAGTCCTACAATTCTGGAATATTTTGGCACAAATAACTTTTGGAATGGGGCTACTAGGAGTTGCTCATAACAACTGTCTATGAAGAAGTCAAAAGAGAAAGGAAATGAGAGTGAAGTTTAGCAAGTCAACATGAAGGAGCACTTGCCAGGTTTGATTCCCAGCACTACCATCACCACCAAAAAAAAAAAAAAAAAAAAAAAAAAGAAAAAATGTAAAAAAAAAAATAAAAAAAAGGTTAAAATTTTAGAACTCTTACAGACGACCCAAAAAAAAAAAAAAAAAAAAAAAAAAAAAAAAGTGCAAAGGTCTAAGATAGATACTAAGCAGATGCTAAGTTTATAGGACTTATTGAGGTAGTGTGAAAATTCCCTTGTTTTTGTTGTTCTGGCATTATGGGTACTGGGATCCTTTGGGGGGGCTGCTTGGAGACCTTCAGTGTCCTTCCACAGGAAGAAGCAAGTGTGTCTCTGTTTCCAACCTGTTCTGTGGGGTTTGGCTGATGTTGTGAGTTGGCATTCTGAGTACTAGCACTAAGGTTCAACAAGAATAAATTCTGGAAATGTCTCCTTGGACACCCTTTGCTTTGGCACAGTCTCAGTTGCCCCAGACACCTCGAGTGGGTGAGGAAAGTTAAGTGAGTAGGAATAATCCAGAGGGGTTCTGGGTGAAAGACATCTAACAGGACAGGAATTGCTCAAAATGTGTGGGATAACTTCAGTGCTGGGAAGAGAAAGGAACAGGCAGACCTCAGCACTAAAAGAAATAGGGGTGCTGAGTTATCAGTGCAGGTCACTGGGACCAGGGAGAAGGGCTAAGGGAGCCAGCTGAGGGTCCTGCTTAGTGTTGCTCTTTTAGTATGGCATCCAAGCCACAGTTTCTAGGGCATTTAACTAGACATTCCCCCTAGTTATTCCTGAAAATGTTATTAAATGTTGCCAGTAACTTTTATCATTGGACACACCTAGATCATTTTTATGATTTCTGTGACCAATGTGGACATTAAAGCTTTCTTCTTTTAAAAGATTTTTCTCTTCTACATTCAATTAAAACATAAAAACTTATTCTATCCCAATAGAATAAGTGGTAATCCTAGTTTTATTATCATTCACTGTATGTATCCGCAATTTAATAAATGAACACAGGAAAGACACAATCACTTCCCTATGTGTCACCCCAGAAGGTTGTTATTTGAGAAAACAATATTTTCATAAAATGACTCACTTTTCCCTCCCCATACTATAATGTTCTCTCTCTAATAATCATTTGGATTTCTTAATTTTGTAAATGAAAAATTACAGTTGAGTAATTTAATTGATTACATATGTATCTATTGTCAGAATTTGAATACATGCATAGCATATTCATTGAATGTGAAAGCAACTTCAATAATTCATTTGTTCCAATGTTCTCAAGACTGTGAATTTAATTCCCTAATAAAATCCAAGTCATGGGTTGCTTTAATAATCAAAAGCAACTCTGTTCCTCAAACAATGCAGCTCAACACATAGATGGAAAGCCAGAGTTAACTACCAATCATAAAGTAGAAAGCCAATAATCCTCACACCAGTAGCCACTCACCTACAGTGCAACCAAAATCTTTTCATAGTTTTCAGCAATTCTGGTCTTAAAATATATCTCACCCTTAACAACAGCAAGACTGTTCTTAATTCAGGAAATATGCTATAGCCAAAAAAACCTCATATCCATGATTATGATTAGCTCAATATATTGTATTTTTAAAAGTTGCCAGCATCTCATAATTCATCAAATTTATGATTCACTTTCATTCAGCAAAAGGTACTTTTTGTTTTGTTTTGTTCTGTTTTGAGATAGAGTCTTACTGTGTTGCCCAGGCTGGCCTCCAACTCCTAGGCTCAAGCGATCTCCATAGTAGTTGAGACTACAGGAGTGTGTTATGGCATCTGACTTAGCAAAAGGTTCTTCTATTTTAAATAGAATATTCTATTTTAAATTTAAATATTCTATTTTAAATTCTGTATGGATATTCAGTATTCTCTGCCTTAACTACTTCAATATGTCCTCTACTACCGTTATATCTATTCTATTTTCTTTTAGGAAAAAAAAATGAAAAACCAACCTTGGCTATGGATTAAGCCATCTAACTCTGTTTTTGTTTTTTCATTTCTACACTACATTTTCTTATTTTCATGTCAGTATTCTTTCCAGAAAACAATTTTCCCTTGCTAAGTGTAATTTGGGTAGCCATTTAGAGATGACATCGAAATGTACCTTTTCTTACCCTCTCATTTCTTTCTCACATCCTTTTCAAATAGTCACATTGCTACAAAAAAAAGCACAATTTATGTCTGTAGTAACATGACTTTTCTTAGAAAACAGAAATCAGTTAACAAAGGTTCCAATATCAGTATGGCAAAAGAAAACGAGACAAAACCAAAAATGATATCATTAAATAAATTCCCCCACCATAAGGCACTATAATCAGTTTGGCAAACTTGAGTTCAAATTATTTCTTACACTGACAGCAGAAGAAAAAGAACTGGATTATGTAATATTTCTCCTTGCAAAAATGAACACCCATGTCTGACTGCTGCCATGCAAAGACAGCCAAACAACGTGCGAAAGCTAAGCCAATATGAGTGGGCTACAGTTGATGCCATCGCACACAGGTGGCACTGTCTGAACAGGGAGTTTACCCTCATACAGGTTCTCATTCTTATTAAACTTCCACTTGAGATTGAAATCCACTCACTGTTGTAGCCACTGCTGCTGCTAGCCTCTGCCGGCGCCGAGTTGTGCTGAACTGGCCCTTCGCGGGTGGCCCTTCCTGACAGTGAATGGGAGAAGAGAAGGGGGTAAAAACACAGGATGGAGGGTTGGGGAGGGGAGAGGATGGGGTATAGGAGGATGAAAGATAATCAGACAAGGGAGACGGAGAATTTTAACCAAAGTTGACTTTTCTTTAAAAACAAAACAAAAATCTTAGCATAGAAAAGAGCTCAAAAGGGCATTCAATGCCATGAGAAATGTTCATTATTCTCATTGTAGGTCACCCAAACTCTGTTAAGTCTATTTGCTGAAGATCACCCCTACCTCAAAAGGAGATGGTGGGTTATGCATTGATGCATAGCCTGTGATTTTAAAATGTGTCTTGTTTTAGTTATGTGATATAATGTTACACGAAGTCAAAAGGCATTCAATTAATGGGAGCAAAGAAGAAAAAAGTTCAGGAAAAACTCATTAAATAATGTGCAAAGGCTAATGTGAACAGGTTGTAATGAGAGCCTCCTCTGGACCAGGAGGAGAGAAAAAAAAAAATAAGGAAGGGGACCCAGGATTCATCAGCCTCCACTTAATGCCCTACCATAAAGCTTGCTCACTGGGACTCAACATTAGGAAAAGTGTTGAGATCTTCAAGTTGAACAATTTTCCAAAGGATAATAATTAAAAAAAAAATCTCAAGTTTCTCAATGCCCATAAAAAATAAGCTTTGAAAAACCGGAAGAATTAGTTTCATTTAGTGATGTACGCCTACACATGAACCAGTAGAAGAATTCTTTCATTTTTTTTCCCCCTCCTTCTGGTGGATGAGATTAAGGGATGTAATTTTCCAAATTACATTCATATTTCTCTTCCATCTTCACAAATTTTCTGTTCACATATATGTAAGTCACACAAATACATACATAATGTTTTTCATGAAAATCTTTCTATACACATTACCTTTTTAATGTACTAAAAGGAAGAACTTGTTTTTACCAGAGGATGTATGATATCTAAGATAGCTCCATGTTAATGACAGATCTGCCACTATGTACTTCCTACTATTGTTCATCATCTCTAACATTCATTCTATTGACAATACAGGAAACCTAGCAGCTCTTTCTTCTATGTCACATTTTTAAAATCATTCCCTTTTGTCCTCTACTTCATTTAAAACGTAACTAAGGGTTGGGGATATAGCTCAGTTGGTAGAGTGCTTGCCTCACAAGGCCCTGGGTTCAATCCCCAGCACCACCAAAACAAACAAACAAACCCCAAACCTAACCAAAACAAACAAACAAAAAAACAAACATAGCCAAACTTTCTGCATAATGGTATTCAGATTTTCATTAGAACTAAAAGATTTGAAATTTGGGAGCCAGGAAGTCCATTTTTTAAAAAAGGTAACCCCTCCCCCACCACACAAAAACACAGAATATTCTAGGACAAGTGTTGACTTCACGAGTTACACAATGGATTTTCTGAGGTTAAATTATGGCATGGTATCTAGAAGAAATATGGCCAAAAAGATTTGAGTCAGGAGCATGGTCTCACCCATACAAAAATAAGCAATCGCACACATAGTATAACATTCTTCATTTTCAATTTTTTAATAGAATCTATTTTATATTTCAAAATTCAGTGACACCACACCAATAAAAATAACAGCAGGAACAACCACCAGCACTGTCACCCCTTGGTAGTCTGGATTCCTTCACAACAGCTGATGGTTAGATGCAAACAACAGAGGGGATGTAAAATGGGCTGTCACAACCTGAGAGCCACTCAAGTTGGCCACAACGAGGATCTTCAGGGGGAAATGAGATGATGATAAGCTCACAACAGATACTTGGCATCATTAGATGGAATTCCCACAGTCAAAAAGCATTTAAAATAGGGTGGGGGGGAACTGGGTATTAGGGTGTGGAAAAGTGATAGGTATGTTCAATCCACTGGAGTAAAAATAAATGCCATGTCTTTCTGTGGGCAGAAATACTGCTGAGTAATAGCCATAGTCATGGCTGGGTCCCCAGCAGGTGTGCATATTGGGGAACTTTGAGTAACTCCCAGTCACAGAAAATGAGTGTCCTGAGGGCTCCTGGAAGACCCATTGGCTTGGACAAGCTGAAAAGGTCCAGGATGGTACAAAATTCTTCAGCATTTCAGTCTATGAAAACAAGTAGAGGACTTTGAGATTAGTGGCTCACTGCCACCTGAAGTCTATTTATTTCTATTTAAAGTAGACCATCTTTCCCTTTTGAAAAGACAAAGTTTGTCTTTGAATGTGGGGATAAGATTACATCAATTTCCCTCAAAAATATCTAAACAAAAATGATAAGGGCCAGGTTGTTTCTATCTGGCACATGAAAAAGAAACAAGACAGCATAAGTAAAAGTTTAAAAAGAAGCAAACTATTCAAAAGATATGTCAGGAACATAAACAGAAAATATTTTCCTGCTTTTTGAACAATTTCTTCTGATGACTCCAAAAAAATCCTTGTAACCTCTCGGTATAGTTTAAACATTGCCTGTGACTAGCAGAAGTATTCACAGCTGCATTCTGTTTCCTCCAGTAAAGTTGGATTGTCACAGGGCTGTATGGGCTTCCTAGTTGCAGCAGCCACCAGCTACCAGCACTGAGCTCAGGGCTGCTGAGAATAAACCATTCAAGAAAGCAGCTGTGAATGGGTCTCTAACTTAATTAGAATTTAATTTGCCTTTAAAAACCAGGCAAATAATGTCTATTCACAAATGGATATGTTCTTATTATGCTAGCTTTCTTCCACTATTGTATTTAAAGGAATGGTTCTTTCATGTATAAAAATAGTTCTTTTTCTTGGCATGAGAACCATGGACACTCAACTTGAAAACATGCACACACACACAAACACACACACACACACACCAAACAAACAAATGAGATTCTCACAAGTTCAAAACATATAAAAAAAAAGTGCCAAAGGCAATTCTAGATAAATCTCTTGTCAAATTGTTTGACACATTTGTCCCTATAGTACTAATTTTATGAATAGAAGGGAAAACACAAACAAAATACCGAATAAAGAAACACTAATTATATTTACAGGCTATAGAACTCTAAATAAAAAATGGATCTTTAATGCTTATGAAAATTTCTTTTTAAATATATCAGATTAGAAAGCAAAGCAACAGTTTGTTATTTACACATTCAGAATTACAATACAAAGAATGTTACTAAAGCAGTTAGAATTAGAGAAGAATCATTCTGTTAATTATTTAGAAGAAAGTGAAGATTTCTGAAAAGCATTTACCTTCTATTAGGATTCAAATTGATTTATAGTATAATAAAAACAAAGCTAAATCATAAGTCTAATTTTGACTGTGCAGGTTAAGAATCATTTAGAATACACAGCTAAGGTTAGAATTGTAGATAGTCTAGTTTGGTGATCTGAAAATAATGTGATTTAGATACAAGAGGTTTTAAGAATTTACTGTATTTGTATCACTGCAACACTATGACATAAAAGGATCTTACTTTAAAAATTTAGAACTACTTATTTCAAGTAAAAATTTTATTTAAAATCAACTTCAGTTAAATTTATTATGAGCATTAAGACTTTAGTTCAGATTTTATAGTGATTATTGCAGGCCCAATAATATCTATTTTGCAGATTCACAGAATTTAGAGTTAAAAGGGAATTCAAAGATCATTAAATTAAGTCCATCACTTTACCCAGGAACAAATGGAAGCCCAGAAAATTTAACAGACGTGCACAAAATTTATACAGCCAGAAAATCACAGTGATTAGATGAAAGCCCAGGCTTGTTGATTTTTATTCTAGTGCACTCTCTACTCTTTTTGTCAATAGATAAAAATTTGGACAAAGTTGATACATAAATGGTTCTTTTAAGATCTAGCATATATAAATGGATGTTTATTATAATCTACCAGACTTTTAGTCCAGATTTTTTTTTTTTTGGGGGGGGGTACCAGGATTGAACTCAGGGGCACTCAACCACTGAGCCACATCCCCAGCCCTGTTTTGTATTTTATTTAGAGATGGGGTCTCACTTAGAGTTGCTTAGTGCCTCACTAAATTGCTGAGGCTAGCTTTAAACTCATGATCCTCCTGTTTCAGCCTCCTGAGCCACTGGGATTACATGCATGTGCCACTACTCCCAGCTTAGTTGAGATTTTTAAGGTGACTTTTTGTTTAAAAAGTTTTAATGGTTCAAAGGCTATGATTGAGAATGAAAATGCTACTTCGCAATCATATAATTTTATCTTTCTTTCTAATTATTTTCACTTATGACCAAGCAAGTAAAATAAATAGATTTCCCACTATTTTAGATCTAAAAAAAACTCTGCTTCAGAAGCACTGGCTTTCAAGTAGTTAAGCTGCTCTCTCAATCCAATATCTGTGAGCGGATATACATAAAGATGAATACTTTAAAAGTATATGAAAACATGAAGGAAGGAAAAGTAAAATCTGTACCTGCAGTTGTATTTTTGTATCTTTGCTGACACTTTTTGTTCTCCAGCGTCTTGTGACCCGCTTGTCTTTCTTTGAAATATCTACACAGTTAGCCTACATTGCACAGAGAGTTAAAGGCAACAACGGATTATTAAGTTTACACAGATGATACACATGCAGACAGAACAGTCAGTTAGTAAGGAATAATTGTTAGAGCCTTGAAGCAAACCAGGAGAGATAGGCATCTCATTAAAAGCAGAGAAAAGAACTCAATTGTAAAATGTATTTTTTTTTCTGATATGCAGAATGAAAACAAGATTAGATATCTTCAGCATTTTTTTCTATGAAAAGAGTCTTCATTCTGAAAGTGTCTAAATATATATATTCAAAGCCATTGCAACAGACACATGGGAAGAATGATCCAGAGATATATTTCTACAGCAGTTTGCACTGTATTTAAATGTAAAAACATTTTAAGTTATTTTAACACAATGACACCAAGATTAAAAAATATTAAGAATAACTCTAGAATATAAATTAGTTGTAGTTATTTCCCTTTAAATGTGACTTGAATATTCACAGAATGATCCAGGAAACATTAAAGTGTTAACTGTTTTTGCTGGCAGCAGTAATAGGTTTACCTGCATGTCAGTAAAGTTTGGTGCTGACTGAGTTCTCTGAAGTATTTCCAAGTTTTGCAGGAGTTTGCTAAGTTCCACAAGGTTAGACTGGCAGTGTGCAAGATCTAAAAAAAAATCAGAAATAAAAATATGTTAGAATTGGGCCATGAATGGTGGTATTGGTAATTAGGGGGAGGCAATCCATAATATGGTAAATATGATCAGGCAGATCTGTGTATACAAGGTGGTGATAAGTGAAAGTGAATTAAACACATCTTCTCTGATTTAGAAACTAAAACCATTGATTATTAGAAGATTTCAAAGCCCATTCTTACAATTAATTGCTCTTAGTGTAGAACCCATTAAAATCTAAAATTGTGTGTGATCACTTTCCTTTTTTCTTTTTAAAAATTTATTTATTTATTCTAATTTGTTATACATGACAGCAGAATGAATTTCAATTCATAGTATACATATAGAGCACAATTTTTCAAAAAATTGTCTCTGGTTTTACACAAAGTAGAGTCACACCATTCATGCCTTCATATATATACTTAGGGTAATGATGGAAAGCAGTATGGAGATTCCTTGGAAAATGTGGAAAGGAACCACCATTTGACCAAGTTATCCCACTCCTGGGTTTATACCCAAAGGACTTAAAAACAGTATACTACAGTGACACAGCCACATCAATGTTTATAGCAGCACAATTCAGAATAGCTAGATGCCCTTCAATAGATGAATGAATAAAGAAACTGTGGTATATATACACAATGGAACATTACTGCACCTTAAAAGAGAATAAATTATGGCATTTGTAGGTAAATGAATGGAGTTGGAGAATATTACACTAAGTGAAGTTAGCCAATCCCTAAAAACCAAAGGTTGAAGTTTTCTCTGATATGTGGATGCTGATCCATAATGGGGGTGAGTGGGGAGCATGGGAGAAATGGAGGAACTTTAGATAGAGCAAAGAGGAGGGAGGAGAAGGGAGGGGGGGATGGAGGTAGAAAAGATGGTGGAATGAGAATGGGCATCATTACCCTAAGTACATATACAAAGACACTTTCCTTTTCTGATGGCTTTTGTCACATGGGAAACAGACTCAAGGGAACTTAACAGTCCTGTGGTTTTATTCTTAGGGGCCTGCCTACTTGTTCCTCCAAAATGTTACAAGATAGTTGTCTGGAATTTGTGTGGAGTCACAGTCAAGTTTAGAAAAACAGAATGGAATGTAGCTCACTAATACTCTTGTAATTATTGATTTCTTTAAAATCTATCAGAGATGTTATACCAACTAACATTTCATCCCTATGGAAAAAGTATGCTCCATATTTAAATATGCTTATATATTTAAGGTCTGGACTGGTTTCCAGATCTATAAATAGTCAGCTGCTTTAAGTATTAGAACTGTAAATCAGATAAATAATGCATTCAATAGACATTACTTTTTCAGAATGCAATCAATGAAATATGGAATAAATGTTCCTACTTTTGAAATGCAACCAACCTCAATTTAGACACTCTCTGTGACAAATGATCAATATACATTTTTGTTTTTTAAGTGTAATAGGAGATTAAAAAAGAGAGACTGTGACTTTAGGTCAGCAGAACACACCAAACACAGAGCAGATGGACTGGGGCTGTGCCTCAGTGATAGAGTGCTTGTCTGTCATGTGTGAGGCACTGGGTTCAATCCTCAGGACCACATATAAATAAATAGATAGACAGATAAAATAAAGGTATTGTGTCCATCTACAACTAAGGAAAAAAAATACAGCAGACATTTTTCTGGGTCTGGAAGATTGAGGGAAAGGTTTTAGCAAAACAGGAAGCTTGGGAAGGACAGAGAGCACACTGAAGGTTGGGGAGAACAATCTGTATAAAGGCATGCAGGTGGAAATACCCAAGTATATCCACAAAATAGCAAAGTCTGGTTGAGACTACAGCAGGCAAGGCTGAAAGGGTATGAAGGGTCAGCAATCTGAGGGCATGGGTTGCTAAACGCTGGGCTAAGCAGTTTGGACTAAAGGCCCAGAGCCAATGGAAAACCACTAAAGAGTTTTTGCATAAAAGCTATTTTAAAAACCAATAGTTCTCAGGGAGCATTATGTAGTGGACAAAGAATTGGCTTTGGGATTAGTCGAATGTGGGTTGGCTGGAGTCCCAATCCCTCTACCAGGGCACCTGCATCTTCTTGGGCAAATTCCTTAACCTTCATACATTTAAGGTTCCTCATCCACAAAGTGCGGATAATAGCAACATCTGTGCCTGGTAGCTGAATGCGAAGGATAATATCTGCTAAGTTCTGATCCAGGACCTGCAGTCAGGTCCAAGAATGGTAATTTCCCATGATCCTCTGAGAGGGAGGAAGCAGCAGAGCCAGAAACTGAGGCAGAGAACCAGTGAGGAAGCTGGTGATCACTCAGAGACAAGAATGATGGGCCTCAGTCAGAAAGACAGGAGTGGAATTCAGGGGAAGAGAGAAGGGGAACATGAGGAGGAGGTTTTCAAAGAAACAACAGACAGGACTTGGTCATGGCTGGATGAACAGGGAGGAGGATCAAAGATGACCCCGAGGTTTCAGTGGGGGTATGACAAAAGCACTGACAGAAACAGGGATGTAAGGTACGTGGGCCCACTCTCAGGGGAGACACAACTGAGATGGCAGAGCAACTACATGTCCAAGAACACACTCTGGGATCAGAATGCCAGAGTGAGTCCCAGTTCCACTTACTGGCCATGAAACCTTGGTAAAGGGAGTGAACTTCTCTGCTCCTAAGTTTTCCAGAGTAGAGGCTGAAATTTTCAGAATCACTGCTGTGGGTGAAGTCCAGCTTCTTTCCCCAACCTGAAGTTATTGTACTGAAACTAAAGTCTGAGTGTTTCCTTGGTGAATACATTCAAGGAAAACCTTTGGTAAGTCAGCTGGATGTGATAATGAATATAAAATCCCTCTTCAATCATATATTCACATAAAGATTGAGTTTGGGAGGTGGATCTCCCAAAGGGCTGATAAAAATGCTACAGACTTTGAGTTCACACACAGGTGGGGTGAAAAAAAATATTTGGTCAGGAGACTAACAGATTGCCAAATTTTCATTTTTCTAAGTAAGAACATAAAAATGATATCATATCTAATTTTTTATAATTTCATAAAGTAAAAAAATTAAATTAATCCTGATGTCATCTTAAGATCATTTTAAGAATTCAGTCGAGCCCTAATAAGTACTCTCTACACTGCCCTTGTTTTTCTTGGTATTGAAGATCAAATGAAAATTGTCTCACAGAATGGAAATGGCCTATGGATCAAGTTTGGACCAATATGCTCTAGCTGATTACAAGAAAGGAAAAAGTATGAAGAGATAAAGTGGCTTGGAGATACAGAGTGAGGGAATCGTGTATTAGTTCAAAATATTTAAAAACTGATCCCTAGTGATATATACCACTAACAGGTAACTATGGATAAAAGATGCAGCATATTAGAATTTTGCCCTTTATGGCTGGGTTGTCAGGAAATATATATTCGTTTTATGGACAAGACAGCATCAGAGAAGGCAGCCATGGTACAGACCTAGAGAGAAAGGTAGAACAGCGAGTCCAGGAGCAAGGGCAGAGGGCTCTTCAGGGTCTGAAGGGTAGAGAACATGGAGCCAGCAGAACCAGCAAAAAGATGAGAGAAGGCTGAAGTGGGAGGAAGTCAAGGCAAGATCAAAACTCAGGTTCATTTATTGTGAGGGTACAGGAGAACCGGCAGGTAAGTAGCCCAGGTCATGAAATGGAAAAGAATTTAGTGTATAAAAGTAAGAAAAAGGAAAGGTCAAGGCAATCAAAGGGGTCAGGGTGAAAGATGCAGTACCCACAATTCACTTCAGTACTTTTTGTTTGGTTTGATTCGAGGGCTTATTACTCTGATAGCCCAAATGGGCAGGAACTAACCTTCTGCACACCTGTCCATTTCTTCCGAGTCCTGTAACCAGGCTGCCACTTTGCTCTGGCCAGTTGTACAGGTTGCAGGGAGGCTATTGCTACATGGCAGAGGAGACTGCCAAGGAAAGTTGTTTGGTTGCACCTATAAGGAAGAAAAACAGAAATGAACCCTATGGTTATATGAAGCAGAAAGAGTATATTTCAATGATCATTAAGAAACATAAGCACCCTCATAGTGAGATTAAGAAAAGGGGAATAAAAGTCATCTTGAAAATATGGAGGAAGCCTGTTGGCTAAACGTGGTATGTGCCCAGGGAAGGCAACATTTACAAACAGTAACTGATGAGAACCTTCCGTGGGCTCTCTGTGAACTAAAAATCAGCATCGCAGCCAGTCAATAGGAGAATCTGGTGTCTGAGAACTTAAAGTGGAAATTTCCTCTGGCCAAGACTGCCCAGACACATGTGAGCCCTATTCAGTTCAGCCCCATGTCCCACACAGCACTGGAGATAGGGTGACCTGCTGCAGCCACGCAGCCTTTCAGAGATGGATGTAACCTGCCAAGATGTCAATCAATCTGGTGAATACAACACGAAGCAAGACTCCACCCCTGAAACCTTATGCCTGCCTTTGAGGTACCCTCTTAAATAAACCACAGGAGCCATTTTCTAGTTGTCCATCTCTAGCTCCAGTGTGGTCTGGACCTATCAGGCACTCTGCTTCAAAACTATAATTCTGACTCTGACTTTTGTTCTTCACTAATTATTTCTGACTTATTTTCTCTGGTGGCTTATACCCTCCTGAGCAGAGAAAAGGACCCCCTGGTGAGGCGCTGGCCGCCTCCCCATAAGTAACAACGCTCCCATTCGATTGCCAGCTCCACCAATCAGTGAAGGGGATAACATTCAAATTTGTTGCATCTCATACTCACAAGGACCTGCCAACTCAGATTCCCAGCACTTTTAAGTTACTCAGTAAGCTGCATTAGATGCAGTGTCCTTGTTGAGGTACTTTTAACTCATGATTTAAAGCCCTTCCTTTCCAAAAGTCCTCTGTGCCCTTATAATCACTTCAATGTCTCCTCAACCACATGTGATACCTAAATCCATTATCCACCAGCAAGCAGCCTTATAGAACTTCAAATGCATACTGAAAAATTATATAAAAAGGCAGTTTTGCCAAGTCATTATCTATAGCTGGTAGAATTTCCATTCAAAGGATTTTATGTGAAATAAAGTTAGATGAAATATGTAGATACCAGGATAAGTGCAGTAAACTTCAGTGAAATAGCAGAAACTTATTTCCTGTAAAGCTGAAATAACTTTAAAATTCCATAGTTGGTTTTAATATTCGATTACAACTGAATGTGTCTCTTCAAAATCAGAAGTAAATGATGCACACACTTAGCAAACCCAGACGACTTACTACCCACACTGGGCCACAAACCAATTCCCATTCAGGAGTCCCCTAGTTTGACATGAAGAAGGCAAGAGAAATTATTAAAAGCTCTTTTCAATCTTTATTGCATTTTGATAAATGCAATGGAAATCTTTTACCAAGTTACATCTTAGAGGTATGCCATTCCCAACTAAAGAAATAGATCTTTTGTGAAAACCAGCGTTAACAAGCTTTCTTAGTCTGAGGCAAAGAGTGGGGAGGATTTGGTTTCAGTTCACCGTTCTCAGATATCACCCATGTCATTTAATAAATAAGACAAGGGATGAAAACAATGTTATCTTTTGTCAACACTCAGTGCCAAAGATGTAGGCAGAAGCCGGAAGAACCAAAGAATTAAAATTTTTAATTTAAAAGATCCATTTGGGATACATTTCTCACTTAATTTGGATAATGCTGTGATTCATTTTACCCTGTGGTGATAACACAGAAGGCTCAGAGAACCCTGGGGACTATCTTGGCATCTGTAAGTTCCCAACATTCCTAGCCCCCTGACCTTCTGGTATGATTCCTTTTATTTCAGAACTGGCTGGTATTAGTGTTAACCCAGCATTATACTCTAGGAGAAAGATAATTTAAAAAGTCCTTAGCAAGCTGCAACAAGAATGAAATAATGCAAGGTTTGAGAGTCTTGTGAAAAACAACTAATGGGACTTAACCGACATTATTTAAGTAATTTCCACTGAAATAACAAAAACTGAAGATAGTAATGTTTCATTGAATCTGATTTGATTAGTTTTGCAGTTTTTTTCATGAGGTTTTTTTGATGCTTTGCAAAGGAAACCCGAATCTATGTATGATGTACATTCCTGTGAAAGCAAACAGAGAAAGCAGAATCTCCACTGAAATACTTGTGGCAGCCGTTTCTGTTCTTGATTTCATGTGCCAGGTATAAAGCTGGCACACCCCTGGGCAGTACAATGTGTCTATGTTTCAGAAAACATAATTATTGAATCAAAGGAAGAAACAGCTGCCTCCCTGCCTGTTGCCACAACCTTGGCTTTTTTTTTTCCCTTGATATAGGGATCTCATGCAGGTTCTACCATTGAGCTACAACCGCAGCATTTAAAATTTTTTTTATTTTGAGATAAGCTCTTGCTAAGTTGCTCCGGTGAGCTTCAAACTTTCAATCCTCCTGCCTCAGTTTGCTGAGTAGCTGGGATTCAGGAGTGTGTCACTGTGCCAGGCTTAATCTTAACTTTTAAACAAGCAACACCTGTAGCTTTTCGGTAGCATAGAAAATGAGCTCCTATGGGGGCAGGGATATGGCTCAAGTAGTAGTGCGCTCGCCTGGCATGCATGAGGCACTGGGTTCCATCCTCAGCACCATATAAAACAAAATAATTGTCCCACCTAAAGCTAAAAAATAAATATTAAAAAAAAAAAAAAGAAAATGAGCTCCTATGGAAGCCCAGGAACAACCTTAGCCTCCCTTGCCTGGCACCTGGTGTAAGAGAAAGGGCAGTGGTTTTGGAAACAGAGATGATTCAGGGTTAAATGCTGTGCCATTCTGGACAATTTCTTTACTGTCCCTGAACTTCGTTTTTATGAAAAATTAGTGATAAGTGAATGTTAAATGCTTCATGGAGTACCTGGTCACTGAAAAAGGCTACTACCAGTATTATTGTCACAATCTTTAACTTATTTGCATTAACTTCATTATTGGACTTACAAGCTCTCTCTGGGTCAAATCATTACAGCTCAAGGCAAAAAAGCAAGTTTCACTTTCAGAACTTTAGGGTATTCTTATTATCACCCTAAAATCTGGAAGGTCCCTGATTACTGGGTGCTGATTAAACAAATACTTGCTCCTCTTCCTAATATTCTTACAAAGCCACATAAAAATAGAATGCCCTCTAGTCATTAAAAAGGGAAAAATAACTCTTAATACTTTTGGTGACCACATTTATGCCTAATCTATACTTGTGATTAACTCTGATGCCAATGTCATTGCTATCTCTTGAGTGTCAGTTTACAAAGCAAACTTTTTTTTTTCCTGGTGTTTTCTTTTTAATTGACATCACAGATACTCCGACATCTATGCTCCCATGGACTTCCCTTTTTGAATCTGAAATCAAAAGACTAGTAAATACGTTGATAGGATATATGGTCTGATATACTTACGGTCTGTATTGAATTAGTGAGCTGAAGGTAAGTTTTAACTTATCTATGGGAAGTCGATTACCATATCTGCATAATTTTCTAAGCAATTGCCATGTTGGTTTTATAGAGCAAATTCATACCTTTCCATCAACAACAGAAACATTAGCAGCTGGGGAGGACTCTGCTGTGGAAGTTGCAGGAAATATGTGAAAACTAGCATCTCTTGGTGATCTCACAATTTCATTCTGACGGTACAGCCGATGATGGCGCAGCTTGGAAACCCAGGCATCAAACCAGTCCTGGGACTTCACCTGAAATAAAGAGCAAGAGGAGAAGGTAACTGGGAAACCCATCTCTTGTCTGCCACTGGTGCAGATAAATCAGGTCTCCCATAATGGCCCAAGAACTGTTGGAAAGCGATTTCACCTTCAAATGGTAGATGTGCTCTTCCGTGTCAAGGTCTATTCTCCTTGCTTTCTTTTTAATTGACATCACAGATAGTCCGACATCTATGCTCCCATGGACCTTCCCTTTTTGAATCTGAAATCAAAAGATTAGTAAATACGCTGATAGGATATATGGGCTGATGTACTTATGGTCTGTATTGAATTAATGAGCTGAAGGTAATTTTTAACTTATCTATGGGAAGTGGATTACCATACCTCTTTAATAAAGAGAAAATGGTTGGGATTCTGAAGTTGAGACCCTTAAACTGAGGACAGTTAAAGTTCCTGTGACTTCATACCAATTTCATTAAGTGACAATATTTATCTTATTCCTGTTTTGGAAACAGCCTCTAAGGCCAGTTCTTCAGAATTCTAGATCACATAGGTTATATCCCTTCAAAAGATATTTTCATGATTCCTAAAGTAACTATGGTCAACGTTTTGACTTATGACCCAGAACATCCCTGAACAGTGAGACAGAGCTAGGGCAGAGGTAGGCAACACAGAAGGCAAGACACAGTGCAGCCCATTCCTCCTTCTGGCTGTCCCCTTGTGATCAAAGACACCCTAATTCAACAGCAGAGATAGGGACTAAACTGTAATCTGAGCCTTATGTCATTTCCCCTGCACCATATAATACGAAGGGAATTTTCCTGATTTTCATGTAAACGACTACTTTATGTATTAAACAAAAACTAGTTCAAGAAATTTTTGTGAGTTGGGATTTCCAAGATAAAACAATGTATGAAACAGAAATAAAATTCAAAAGACGGTTTCAAAAGGACATCGACAAGAACAAAAATGGCTTTAAATCTCAAGAAAAGTACATAAAGCAGAGTTTATTGAGAGGGCCAGAGGAAAGAAAAGACTATTTGCATTTTTCTCTTCAAGAGAGAAAGGGGTGATTTTATTTACGTGTTGCTCTTGGGTTTAAGCTTCTGTTTTGAACGTACATTAATTAGTTAATTTAAACCTTCATGCACTAGTTTGAGACTTTCTGCTATCTTGAGTATAAGCACAAGACACACCTTCTCTGAAACATGCAGGTTTGGAAGCTTGTTAAATATCAGAGGCATAGACATGCACAAAGCTGGGAATTACAGCACAAGGCTTGTACAATTAGTGTTTACTCACTTCAAGCAGAATTCTAAATCAACTTTTGAAACAAGTCCTGTGTGCTACTTACATCAAGTGGTGCCTTTGAATACTTTAACATTCCATTATCCAGGACAAAAAAACGCTGCAAGAACCAAACATCCCTAGTTATTGTCTATATTTTGAATTATATAAAACATTCACAAATGTGGGTCTAGTTGCTTCACATTTAGCAATCAACATGTTTGACCATCTTAATATATGAATTCAGTGCATCTGGCCACGGTTAGTCATTTTAAGCTGCAAGGAGATCAGAGCTCTCATTCTGTGTTATTAACCTACCAGGGTTCTTTTACATGTAACTCAAGGGGGATGGAATCTTTTCACCATGGTTTTGATAACAAGGAGGAAATCTCAGGGCCTTTAGCTAAGATCTTCTGAATGAACCACATATTTCTCAAAGTGAGAAATTATAATAATCCAGATTATGTCACAATAATTCTGTGAGGAGTTCTACACAATTCTGCAGGATTCTTTTTACCCTATAGGCAAACTCGTGAATTTTCTCTAGATAATTCCTGAAAATGTTCTTGTTCACTTTAGAAGCCAATAGATTGGATCTTTGAAGAATGAATTCTTAGAAAGTTTAAGTGGCCTTAGCAAACGGCTTGCATTTCACTATTAGTAAAAGAGATTTAAATATTTCCAAATTATATTAAGGGTAGAAAAAAGAGAGAGAGTTTTTTGCTTGTTTGGTTTTTTGGCAATTTTTGTCTGCTCCAAGGTCTTCTTGATCCAGTCTGAATGGATTTAGCCATTTTTGCTCCACAAACACTTAGAAACTCTCTGCTCTTGATTTCCCTTCAGTGGACAATTTACAAGAGAACAAACTGCTCCCAGGACCCAATCACACAAAGGACCCAGTGACTTCCTGTAGCTCTACACATGTAGAGAGTCTTTCTGTTGCTGGAAAATTACTCTGCTGGAAAGTTTTTATGTGATTCAGGAACTCACAGATACTGAGGTTGCAGGAAGTCAGGTCTGGGGTCACCTGCCCAGAGCTCACAAAAGGCCACTGTAACCCCTTTGTTTCAGATTTAGGAGAACAAGAAGCAACGAAGAATCTCCACAATTGAAAAACATACAACTATTCAATTGTCTAGGGCCAAACAGGCTGATGCTTGAATCAGTATAGGTTGGTACTGGAGATGAGGAGAAAGGGCAATGGAAAGGAGACCCTCCCTCCTTTCATCTACGCAGCAAGATGTTTATAGACGTACTCCAGAAAGTTGTCAAACCACAGTCACTTATACTGAAACATGGACTGAGAGTGTTAAATTTAGTGATTCATATAAAATGTTTCTTTGACCTTTTTTCCCTATTTTTAAAAATTTCTATCTATCAAAGAATTTTAGTGACGATAACCTGTAGGATGTCACAGGGAAAGAGCTTAGCAAGCCACCGATTAGAGGAAGTGCCAAGTCAGAGTGCAAGGCAAAGCTGATCCCAGAAAGGATCACGAGGTGACCAAAATTCAGGGAAGAAAAATTTTAAAAATGGATGGAGAAAGATCACTTGCATTGGAATAATATTATAGGGTTCAGGGGAGACAGTTTCTGACAGGGGAGAGGGCATCTTAGTCAGAAGCCCCTTTGATCTGTTTTTGTTCCATCTTTGGAGACAGGACACTGGGACATCCTTTCCCATTTGTTCATTTCAAATCTTTCCCTTAAAAATGCATAAAATGTGTTTTTTTCAAGCAAGTTATAATCCATAACTGTCTTGTTTTAAGCCAGTGGTCAGCTACTATCTGGACCTTTGAGTTGACAAATCTGTCCGTTTAAGATGAAATCTATCAGCAGAAATGATGAACAGATGAACTTGATCTTCCAGTGATTTCAGAGATGATTCTGAATGGTCCACCAGAGGGCTTATACTGAAGGTGGAAGAGAATTTCCTTCTCCTTAGTAACACAAAATTCTTTTTTTTTCCCCTGGAAAGATATGGGGTCTTGCTATGTTGCCCAGGTTGGTCTCAAACTCCAGAGCTCAAGGGATCATTTGGCCTCAGCCTTTCCAAGTAGTTGGGACAATAGATACATGCCATCACACCCAGCTAGCACTATGGAATTCTTACTAGTTGGGTAATTATAACAATGTAGTAACAAATATTTCCTCCCTAATTAAAACTGGGAGGTAGAAAAGGATATTGGGAGGGGAGAGAAGAATAAACCACCTTAAAAAGTGGTAACCAAAATTTCCAGAATCAGCAATTTTCCAAATTTACTTTGTCCTAGTAATAATTGTAAGGTTTATCCCACAAAACTAAACAGTATTCAATTATAAAGATGCTCATTGCAACAACATAACAAAAAATTGGACAAGTCCTCTATATCCAGCAATAAGAAATTGTTTTAATAATGGTGGAATATATAAATCCACCCAAAGGAATACACTTAAAAGCATCTCATATTTAGAAAAATATTTAATGAGAACATATCCACACTAATTTATGTGAAAAAAGTAGGTTAGACAATAATATGTACAATTTGGATTTTAAGTATAACATAAACATCTTCTCCTTCATCTATATGCTACAGATCTTGGACGCTAGTAGGTATAATAGAATGCAATGCATGGGGCCTTGAAAATGAGTTTTATGTATATGCAATAGTCTTGATTTCCTACTGAATAATCACAAATAATATCCTTTCTATGAAGATGATCTGAAATTGAATCTGATAAAAATGTTACCTTGTGCCAGCCTTTTAAAGGCCATTTTCTCTTCTTCAACATAAAGCCTTCGTGTTTGTCTGGTTTCTGGACATTAGTTTGACCTATTTTCAGCCCTTCTATAATTTCCCAGCTGTCAGCTTCCTGAGAGAAAAGAAAAACAAATCACATATTTTCTGTGTTTGACGACACACTTAAAGCAGATTCTTAAGTAGAAGTTGCTTTTGAGGCAACACTAGACCCGCCAGAAGTAGAAAAGATTCTGGAGCGAATTCTAACATCAAACACAGCTATGCACTTTTAACTGAAGTTAAATGAGTTTCCCAGGTAGACCTGGAGGCACACAGGGTCCATCAGAGACTCACTGGGGCCACCTTGTCTACTTGGGGTGGGAAGGAATTTCAATTGCCTGTACTCAGAATGTTTAAAATGCATTTTCCCAGACAGTTAATCTCTGGGCACCAGAGGAACTTTAAAGTTTTAGAGTAGGGCTGTTTTGAGGACAAATGTTCAATTAGTGTGCAGAACTGGCTTTCTGGGTAGAAGCAGAAAGGCTGCAGGAGTCTAAAGTGGCTGGGAACCTGCTATCAACACAGAACTATGCCATGGTCCCGTTTCTTCTTGGTGCGGCCATGGCATTTCCAAGTGGGTATTAAACACCTTACTTGTCAAGTGCACACTGAGAAGTACAGGCTTTCAATGGTAGAACTCCCCTTGGGTGCCAGTGTTAAAGAGCATCAGGCTGCAAGGCCAAGAATCTGAGTTCTAGAATTGGGAGTGTAGTTTGGTGGTAGAGTAAGGCCCTGGGTTCAATCCCCAGCACAAAAAAGTAACAAATAATTAGAAACAAATAAACAAACAAAAAACCTTGGGTCTAAGAGTCCACACTTTTACACCCTCCTGTTAAAAGCCAATCAAATGTTTCCTCTTTCTCAAGACATGTTGCGTTCATCTGTGGTACTTCATTTTTTAAAAATGAGTTTTAAACATTTACAAATCATAATATTTCAGACTTTAAGAATCCAAATTTTCTGAAAGACTATGAGATCTGGTGACACTGGGTTTGCCAAGTGAAGGATGTCTGTCTTTATTCTCCCATAGTCCCATAGCTGGGGACTATGACAAACCCAGTTGATTCTAAGGGCCATTCAGTTATAAAGTAACCATTGAACTAGCAAACACTCTAAGAGCTCATATTCTAGAGTTCAGGCATGACATTCTGGACCACAGTGTATCCTTTTAACAATTCAGCAGAGGCAGCAGCTCCTAAGGTGGGAAGAGGCTCCCATACCCACTGAGCAGCTGCTGCAATCCTGCGCACAATGCAGGGAGGCAAAATCTCTCAGCATAACCCACTATTGCCTCCCTCAGAAAGTTGGATGTGTGGTCCATGAATCAAGGCAGGCTCTCTATAGGATGCCTCATCCCAAACTAACTTGGGAAGATGCTTTCCAAAATGATTTGTTCTATCAGAAATCATGTTTACAGACTACATAAAAAAGAGCTGAACAGGAATGGCCAATGGAATTCATCTCAGAGAAGATGGCTTTGCTGGCCCAAGTAGGTATGTGGTAGCTGCCCCAAATCTGCAGAATGCTTGAGAGGAGCCCATGAATCAGAGGAAAGGGTTCATAATCAGTTCCTGATGTGAGCCACAGGAAGGGAGGCAGCTGAGTCCTTACTGTCTATTCCCATACCCGCTTCTCCCATATCCACATCTCCAGATGTGGCCAACATTGCTTCATTCTACCATCAGAGACAAGGAGATGCTCCTGACCTTTGAAAAGCCCTCCAAAACCAGCACCATGCCTCTATGCTACCTAAGCCCAATGCACAACTACCTTATCCACACCCCCCAAATGAACCCGAGACTACTATCACTTCTTCATCTTCCTGGTCATCCCTAAAGACTGAACTGTATACCTTAGAGAAACATACTGCTGGTGTCCACTTGGTGACATTAAGAACTCTTGAAAGGATCTTTAACAACCTAAGAAGTGGTTTTCTACTTGTAGATAATTCTATCAGAAACTGTAATTCATCTGGTCAAAACTTAATTAGATATAGCGTTTTTTTAAAAAAAAATGTTTTTGATGAGACAATTTCAGGCTGCATGGAATATCATGTTTTTGGACAAGATAAGTGCCGGTAGCATTATCACATTATCCAGAGTGCCAAGTGGAAGGCTTTGGCACCCCTTTCTCACTACTGAATTAAAACTGAACAAGTGAGTTTTGTTATAAATAATATTTAAATGACAAGAGAAAATAGTAAGTTCTTACAAAAAGTCTAGAAAGTGTGGCTTTCTGCTGTCACCAGACAGGTAGATAACCACTCTATTCCATAAAATGATAGCTTTTTGCTAATTCCTTTTTAAAAGTTTTAAATAATCAAAATTAAATCATTAAAAGAACAATTCTCTATATAAGTGGGAACACATTCATTAGAGATTTCTTTGTTCTTGAGAGATTTCAGCTATATTTAAGACATTTCTATTTTTAGTGGCTTCATCTGTGGATAGTATCTATAAAAGAATCGAGTTTTTATTTCTGGCTAGATCTTATTTGAAGGCTAGTATTTAACTTCCATTTTTTTGTGTGTGTGCACGCGTATGTGTGATGAATGGAAATATTTAATAACAAGTATAAATGTTTTCTTTTTTTTCCTAACTAAATTCAGAATATAATAACAGCATGTCTCTGTGGAACCATGGACACGGATTTCTATCAGAGTGGCTTTCCTTTCTTCTTTAGGAGTTTAATTGGAGAGGAGGAAAAAAGGGATAAGATAGAAAAGGCAGGAAGTTAAAAGCGTATTTCTTACACATAAATGCAGTATCTCTGAACAAATAATTCCATTTGCTCTAATGCAATATTCCTAAACCTAGCAAAAGAAATAGAAATAGCTGTCAAGCTGACAAAGAGGCAAAGTATAAAATCAGAGCAAACAAAATTCTCTTTATTTCAATTATAAATTCTGACCATGATGTTCTAAATAAGTGTGTAAGAAAAGAAAAACCCATTTCTGTACAAGATAGGGTCTTCTGTGCTCTATGTTCCATTATGTAAAAATTCCTGCCTCTATGCCTAGTAGATGAGTTATACCTTAAGAAAACTGAATAACTTTCTGAAAATTGAAGATTTTTTTTTGAAATTTCAATTTATATTTATTTTCTGTTTAAAAGTCTCAAATATTCCTAGGTTTACTTAAAACAGAAATAGAAGCAAAGGCCCTGATGTGATCGTGTCAGTACTTGACTTAGGTCAGATATACAAGCATCTTTGGATTAAAGAAGCTGTAAAAATACTTTTAATAGAGTAACAATAAATAAAAATAGAAATCTAATATAATCTAATAATAGCCTGAGCCTTTTCATTAAAAAAATAGAGAAATATTTCCTTTCTCAAGGGTATACTGTATAGGTGTACATATATGTGCATATGTGTGGGTAAGTGCAAGGGGGTGATGGTGGTGACAGTGAGGGCATGCAGAAATGCTTTAGAACTTAAGCCATCAAACAAAGAATTTGAACAAATCCTGGCCAAGGCAATGTGTATTTAAAACAAAGTTCTGCTACAAATCAGTGCCCAGGAAGTCCTTCTTTTCTCAAAGGAGCTGAAACAGTGAGGTGCTTTACCATCTAGATGGGATGTGAAAGATTTGTTCTGTATATACTAATACAAAAACACGACAAGTGTGTGCTAGTCCTACAACAAGATACAAATGGGCAAGAACATACGGAAGTAATGGGAAGTGGATGTTGGTGCCCCACCCAGATCCCTTTGTTAGGCCAGGGAACCCACACCGCTGCTGCTGTGAGCTGGGATAACAGCTATTTATTTCTATGGGGGATTGATATTTAACCAAGTTGAGGTCTTTATCCCTGAGAAATTATGCTAATTATCAGAGAATATTACTACCTACTTCAATGAGTTGGTGGCTAATGAAAGAATATATGTTCTACTCCAGTACCTCCTACAAAATAGGTGGTCAATTAATATTAGCCGCCTTTCCCAGTGTCTCATATTTATTTTTGTCTTTCCTTCCTTTATGCTAATTATTTTTTTCCTTTCTTTTTGCTAATTATGAGAGTGGTGATGTTTCAAAGAGATATATGAATTATATTTACCAAGTATGCATTCTCTAATTGCTGTCTGAATGGAAGTCACTTTTTATTTCCAAATTATTTTTTATAGTTTGATAACTCCCCTCTTTCTTTAGCTTAGAGGTTTACTCCTCTCTGATTGAACAAACTTTGTAACTTGTAATGTCTTTAAAATATAAAGTGGTAGAAATATATATGCAATAACACTAGGGTAGTAATGTGTTCTTTTCTTAAAGGGTTATTTAATATAGAAAAAGCAAAGTGGAAGGATTGGCTATACTATATCTAGAAGTTGACCATATTTAGAGCTAAATGCTATTTTTATATCTGAATTCCAAATCTGAATGCATTCTATTTTCAGCTTTCTTGATAAGGGAGCCAGTTCAATGAACTTCTTAGGGAGCGGTGGGGAGGAATACATGCTATTTCCTCAAATGGTTTTTGCATTTTAGACATAAATGAATTTAGATGTTTTTCTAGTCTGAGAGAAAGCAGGCTGAAGGGGGAGGGACTCTAGCTCCCACAAAACAGAAAAGGTCTTAATATCTGCAAAGTCCTCCCAGAGCCTCCTGCTAGGAAGGCCAGACATGGAAAGGAAAACAGATCTCAGAATGTGTCACAGCCCCTCCATGTAGGGACTGTTTTACCTTGAAAATCCCCGTACAGCTGGAGAGCACTGGTTGTAGAGTTGGGCAAATATAACTCTGAATTCCTGCTCTGCTATTTAAGAGTTTTTCTTTTCTTTCCTTCCTTTATTTATAACTTTCGGCAGGTTACTAACTCAGTTTCTGTATTTGTAAAATGTAACACCTATCGACATTGCCTGAAGCTGTTGATAAGAATTACATTAAATGGGATAATGTATCTAAGCACTTAGCATAGTGCCTGGTGTGCAGTATGTGGGCTATCATGGTAACTGTTATGATTATTGCTGGACCCTGTGATTTTTTCTTTTTCCTTTTTTGTCATTAGCTCAGCACAAATATATTTCCTTCTCTCCCCAACAGGGAATAGCAATAATTTCTCTTTCCTTCTTCTCTTAAAGAGAATTTTGAACCTTTGTAAGCAACCCTGCAAATCCAAGGAATATATATTTTCCTCTACTTTCTCCTAACCGAAAGCAGAGATTGTACTGCGGACAGAAAGAAAAGGAAGGGATACCCTGTAATAGCTGTCACAGCCACCTCTGGGTGAGTCAGGTGTAAAAGTCATTCACAGTTCATTTGGTCCCAGCATCAGGCCATCTGAGTAAGGAACCACATATCATCACTGACCTTGGAGAGGGGGATGGGCTCCGGTTCTAGCAACTGCCGACTTACAGAGGGCTCGGTGCTAGAGGACGCTGTTCTCTCCAAGATGTGGATACTCTGAAAGTGAATAGAAATATAGCTCAGTTAGACCACTCATTCTTCATATTTGTGGGCCTGGGTGTGAAAACACACACCTCACAGTGCAAACAATAAGTGATGTTCTAAGTGGCAATTATCTTAGAGACCAAAGGTAACCGCAAACATCAGAAAAATGTGTTTGCGCAGGATTCTGTCTTCTCCTCATGGACCTACTGCTGAACTTCTGCTGCAATGCTGGTTTTAATCTTAGGCATTCAGAGTATGAAAAAACTTGAAATCACACACAGTAACGAGGACATCTGACATATGAGCAACTTTATGAGAATGGCACATTTACCACTCAGACTAATTAGTCTCACATTGAAATATTTGCCCTTCTCTCCAACAGAAAATGGCAACAGACTAAGAAAAAGGTCTAAGTTGAAAAGTCCAGAGCCTCAATATTCTTTTGTGCCTAGAGTTTCTTATAAAAAATGCAAGGGAAGAAAATAGTTTATAATAAAAGTAGATGCTTTTATAAAGCCTATAAGGAACATCTAGATTGGCAAAAGAAACTTAAATTACTAAAACAATATTCCACAAGAAAAACAGGCAAGGTACGTGAACAGGCAAATCATGTGGAATGTTTGAAACGATGTTTAGCCCCAGAAGTATTAAAAAATATGAAAACCAAAATATCAGCTTTTATTTTTTCTTACTAGATTCAAGAATGGACTAGGTTTGAAAGAAAGGGAATATTAACTGGGTTTGGTTTCCCTAAAGAGGGCCTTTGGAAAAAGAAGTATATGCCTCATTGGTCTAGCACTCCCCCAGATGCCTTTTTTATTTTTTTGAGACGGAGTCTCATTATGTTGCCCTGTTGGGACTGACTATAGGCATGTGCCACTGTGCCTGGTTCAAGGTCTTTACCCTAAAGAAATAAACAGAGAACTATGCAAAGAATAGGTACGTTTACAAAAGCCTTATTTATTAGAGTAGAAAAATCTAATTGATATGGGAATAGTAGAGACTTAAAAGGAAATACCAAAATGGCAATATGGATCTATGTTTACTGATAAGGAAAAAATAACCTTGATGTCTGTCGCTGAAAAATCAAGCCGCATCTAGTATGTGGAATATGATGATTTTGTATATATTACAATTAAAATTTATTCCAGAATGCTAGTGGTAGCTGAACAAAGGTGGCAGGATTACAGATGATTTTAAATTTTTCTCAATAGCTTTCAGGTTAAAAAGTCTTTTTAAAAAACATGTACTACTTGTATATTTGGGGAAAAAATAAGCACTTTCTTTGGGAGGGACAGATCTGAAAGGAACCAGAGAAACTCCATGAATATTCATTCAGTTTAGGCTGAAAATGAAATGTGACATTATCACTTTGGTAATTACACCTCACTGTTTCAATGAACAGGACTTATATTTTGTTTTATCAAAATCTCCATTTTTGGATTATCACAGGAAAGATTTTAGATTAATATTTGCTTTTTTTTCATGAAGAAAATTTTGACAAAAGCCAAATTATCCTAATTTCTTTATAATCTTCAAGATTTTTGGTTAATTTTATTACCTTGAAAATAAGAGGCTATACATTTTATGTATCCTACCTTCGTGTACTTGTTAAAACATTTATTAGGAAGAAAATAAGTGATGTGAAAGGTTGAAGAATTGTTCCTCTTTCTCTCATTTGTGCAGAAGCAGAAAAAATAAGAGGTATTTTGAGACCAGATATTAGGAAGAATTCCTAATCTGACAGTCATAGCATCCAAGGACAATGTAAGTATTAGCTGAGACTCTGATCTTTCCATTTCCAGGTTTACTTGAATTATGAAAGAGAAACTTAAAATATGGCTGAGTATTCATATTTGTGTGGATGTCTTTCATGGAAGAGTCAAAAACAAAGATGTGCTGTGAGTGATAAACTGGGGATTTGTTCAGATCTTGGACAGATACTATTTTCTTTTAATTTATTTATTTTATTCCAATTTGTTATATATGACAGTAGAATGCATTACACTTGATATAACACATATAGAGCACAATTTTTCATATCTCAAAGTATATTCATACCATTCGTGTCTTCCTACATGTAATTAGGTTAATGATGTCCATCTTATTCCACCATCTTTTCTACCCCCATCTCGCTCCCTCCCCCTCCCACCCCTTTACTCTAGAGTTCACATAATCCTCCCATGCTCTCCCTCCTAACCCCACTACGAATCAGCCTCCTTATATCAGAGAAAACTTTCGGCATTTGGTTTTTTGGGGTTGGCTAACTTCACTTAGCATTATATTCTCCAACTCCATCCATTTACCTGCAAATGCCATGATTTTATTCTCTTTCATTGCTAAATAATATTCCATTGTGTATATATACCACAGTTTGTTTATCCATTCATCATCTGAAGGGCATCTAGGTTGGTTCCACAGTTTAGCTATTGTGAATTGTGCTGCAATAGACATTGATGTGGCTGTGTCCCTGCAGTATGCTGTTTTTAAGTCTTTTGGTTATGGACCGAGGAGAGGGATAGCTGGGTTAAATGATGGTTCCTTTCCCAGTTTTCCAAGGATTCTCCATACTGCTTTCCAGACTGGCTGCATCAACTTGCAGTCCCACCAGCAATGTATGAGTGTACCTTTTCCCCCACATTTTCACCAACACTTCCATTTTTTTTTTTTTAAATCAAGAGTTAGAACTATTTATAAGTCTACACACATTTAGTAGCAAGTTCACTCACTTTCTAATAGATCACCAACAAAATTCCAGTAAAATAAATATAATAAATCAAAAGATCTGACAATGTCAGTGAAATGAGCCATTCATTCATTCATTCACTCATTTGTTCATTTAATAATCAGTCATTACTGGTACTGCGGTGCACTGAGCCAGACACAGATGACAGGGTGACAGAGAACTAAGATGAGAGAACTGTTCTTGTGATGCTTATGTTCTAGAAAGAGTCTTCTCAGACAAAAGACCAAATAATGCTAAACATATTTTTATAAACCATGCATTCACCCTGTCCTACATGGCTACTGCTTTAGCTCATTTTAGTTTTTCCAGATGGTATGTCTGGTCTGAGCTTCTCATTAAGGATTCTTTCCTTTCCCATACTTGTAGGTTGCTGGGCAATAAAACACACTTATATCACCAATTCACCTCCCTCTTCAACTCCCTTGCCCCGCACCCCTGACACACACACACACACACACACACACACACACACACACACACACAAAGTAAGAAAAGCAAAACTGGACCTTAGCAACTACGTAGGCAGGGAATTAAGGATTAACTTAAGCAATTTGGCCGGGGGTGGGGGTGGGAAACGTGGGGGACAAAGTCCCCTAATTTCCAAATCAAGACACAGACATAGAAATCAAATTTGTATATTTGAAATGTGATAAATGTGAATTCTACATCTATGGATGCTGGGGAATTCTTAAAATGTTGCAGATCAGAAGGGTTAATAACCATGTTAACCAGGACTGATATCTGCAAGATAGGTACCCCAGTACCTAGCACAAAGCACACAAGATTACTTTCTTCTCCACTTGAATATGCAAAATAGTTTATATTATGGAAGGAAAGAAGAGGTGTATTCATTTCAAATACAGTATAATACAGTGCATATTAAGACTGAGTGAAAAATATAAGCCCCACATGTTCATTTGCCAAAGCATAGAGAATCTAAAAACATTTACTGAACTATAATAAAGTGAATTAGTATTTTTATTAACAAACGTATGTATGTATATATATTAAAGCACAATTTATAAAACTACCAGCTGATTCTCATTATTGTAACAAACAGCTTCTAAAAAACCTCCAGTATTATAACAAACCAATAGCTCTTCCATAAATTTGTCAGTCTTATATTTGTATACTATTAGAATTGAATCATCATTATCTATCTAATAATAATAATAATAATAATAATAATACCAACCAATTGCCTTGAATGGCTTAAAACTCATGGTTCTTTAAACTAAATACATATATCTAAAGCTATGTAATCACATACTTGGCTGCTCATTATTTTAAATGAAATACCTAAGTAGATGAAAGCTGTGTTTTTAAAAAATTTTATTTTATTTTTTATGTCATTGATGGACCTTTATTTATTTATATGCAGTGCTGAGAATCAAACCCAGTGCCTCACACATACTAGGCAAGTGCTTTGCCACTGAGCCACAAACCCAGCCCTTGAATGTTGTATTTTTAATATCAGCAGCTATAAAGAAAAGTTAATATACGGAGTCTCAAACACCATTCAGACTGGTGCCCTCAGAGGAGGGACCGGCTCACCTTCATTGCGATACCCCATCTCTTTTACCCACAACACATCCAGACAAGACTCTTCCCACTGTATGTTATGTAGCTCAGTGTACAGCCCTTGCTTAGCAAGTGCAAGGCCCTGGGTTTGATCCCCAGCACCACAAAAAAAGAAAAAGGAAAATTGTTAACCTTTTTGGTGTTTTCTGATTAATCTGTAGAGAACAATCTCCTAACATCATTAATACATGATTAGACATGAAACTACTGTCTAGCTTATTTTGACATTATAAAAATTAGCATAGCTCCTATTGGATAAAAATTTTGAAAACATTTAAAGAACACAACTTTTAAAAATGAAAAATCTAGTGGATTAACCACAGAGCACTTATTTAATTTATAGCTCTGACTGGTCAATGGGGAACAAGTCACATTAGAATTTGCAACATCTACAGTTAAAAAATTAGTTCTTTGCATATGGCTTCCTTTAAGATAATAATTTGTACTGTAAGTTTTTTGTGCTTTTTGTCACAAGATGGCTATTTTCATATTCCTTCACAGTGACTTGGAAACACATGCCATCACCTTGAAGGTGTTATACACGTTATATAAGCAAGTTAAATAAGGGGTTACATAAACACAGTCATTATTCTTTTAAAATCAAATTTCCTTTAAGTACTACAATTATAACTTAATTTTCAGGTCAGTTTTTAAAGGAACCTAGACCACACAGGCAAGGTGGAAG